TCGAACTTGCAGAATCTGATGATGTATACGAAAGTGTCTCCTTTGAAAAGTTGCATGATGGTCCGTTGGAGTGGGTAATAGAAGCCAAACCATTCTTTCATCAACTTGAGGCAAGCAGTGAGGATGCCTTCGACCAAGCAAAAATATTAAAGAGGAATCGAGTAAACTATTTCATCCAACGTTGTCGAGAGAGTGGGAATCCTAATGTGTTCTTTCGTGAGGGTGTTGTTAATTACTTTCGTGAATCTTCAACCCCAGAAACCATATATACAGCCCTTGATCATATTAAGAAAGCATCACTGAAAGGTCACAAAGATGCTAGCTACCTGTACTCAATGATACTGATGTCAGGGTTTGATGAAACTCAAAGGTCGGAGGGATTTGAAATTTTCCGTTTGTTGAATCAATCATGCTCTGTTTCTATGTGCAGGTTTAATGTTAGACTTTTCGTTAGAGGCCTGTGGGTGAGAAGAAAGTTCGTTTCTGAAGGGCCACCAATCTGCAAGCCAGACAAATGCCAATCGAACATATGGGAAGATGAACTCTCTTTGTGGGATCATTGTGGAGTTAGCACAATGATGAAGATGTGTGAGTTTTGCAAGGCGGACTTCGAAATTTACCTATTTCGTTTAATGATCATGGTTTAAGTCAATTGAAGGAGATGATTATAGACCATGTTTTGCAATGCAGCCTGCAGTGTTTGAATTTTGGAAATTGCCCTGCATTTTTTCGTTTCCTTTTGGTGTATTTATGGTCTGTAATTTGTGGATATTTAAGTTTAGTTTTTATGTTGTTAATTTCTATTCTCTATTTTTCTTCAGTTAGTATTGTGATTTGAATGTCTGGAATTTTCTCCATAATTTGATTAGTGTTATCGAGTATTAAAAAAAATATATAACAAATAAAGGGGGCCATCACAGAGATTTAATTGAAAAAAACTATTTTTATATAAGGTTGTTATACTTAGTAATTGAATAATCAAAATATTTTGATAGATCATGTGAAATAAATAAATTGAGCTTTTACTCTCTCTTTTTTTATGGTAAACGAATAACTACATATGCTATGAATACATTCAAATAACCTCTAACCAATGTCATCATAATATATTGGTCAGTTTATAAACAATAATAATGCTCCTAAGTAATATTCAGATTTGTATACATAAAATTTTAATTATTTTTTTTGTTAAAATATTAATGGCATTATCATATACGAAATGGTCTAAAACAAAATGATTCCATATATGAAGTATGATCTTTATAAGTATTAATATAAATACAGTTATATTGATAATCAAATAATTAAAATATTGAATTACGTTAAACAACTAACATCTTAATATAATTTTCTTTAAATAATAATCTATTCATCAGTACTAAAAATAAAGATCTTAAAATTTTTGTTGGGTAATATATGTAAGAAGATTAACAAATCCCTTTTGTTAATAAACAAGCGTCAACTATATAAAAATGGGGAGGGATATTCTTACTACCAAAAAAACTCACTACCAACCTATTACCTCCACAATCACCATTGGATTCATATTTTCTCTCTCTTCAAAATCTTTTCAACATTCTCTCTCTTGGATCCAATGGTAATTATGAAGGTAGTAAGATGGTAGTATATTTTTTTGTTAGTAAGAATATCCTTCTCCTATAAAAATAAAGATATAAAAAATTGGTTACGAGGAATTATAAATACATTCAAATTTGCAATTTCAAATAACTAACTATTGGACAAAATTAAATGATGTGAGTGGGATATTGTTATTTTTTCAAAAAGTTGGTTACCCAAAAAAAAAAAAAAAACATTAGTGTGCTTTAATTACATGAATTTGGTTTTTTTTCAATAAATCCTTACTTCTTTTAATAAAATAGTGTTCAGAATATTTAAAATGCACTGACAAAAATAATATAATTAATAATTTCTTAGTTTTTCAGATATCATTTTATTATATTTAGTGTTTAATTAGTAAATCTTTATGTACTATTTTAAAATAAATTAAAAAAAACAAAATTCTATCCAGGTTTGTTTTAAGTATATAAAAATCTTTTCATATTCCTTATAAGAATACAAAGCATTTACATTGAAAACATCAATTGGCTTGAAGCATACTTTTTCTTTTTGGTGTATCATCATTAGAATTGTTTGGTAGACATTTATAGAGTACAACGATGAGTTATTGAGCAGAGAAAAAAGCAACCTCGATTATCATGATGCTGAAGCAAGAGAAGAGGTGGTACAGTAGTTGCATTTCACGTTGAGTCTGATAGGAGAGCAAATATGCTATAGGAGAAACATCATATTGATTCTTAAGCATCCTCTTTCTTTGTGCTCCAGCGTTAATACAAAACTTTCTTCCAAATTGCAAATGTCGACGCGGAAGAGAAGAAACACTGGACTTTCGAAATCTTCCTGTTATAATTCTCCTGAACAATTTAATCCATCGTTTGAATCCGCTGTAGAAAATCAAACTCCAGAATTTGCTTCTTCCGTTCGCAGGTTTTTTTTATTTATTATTATTGAATATATATTCGAATTTGGTCAATCTTTCTTTGATTTTATTGAGAATGATTAATGTTTCCATCTCTGTTATTAAGTGTTTTTAACCCAAACAGTTATTATGGAGTACTCCCTGTGCAAAATGGGTCAACTTCCAAAAGACAGGTTTTTAGTGATATTACAAATGGTATGTTATTGGATTTCAAATGTTTAGCAGTTTCTTTGTATAATATAGATAGATGTGTCACTTTGTTACTTTAATTTCATTTAAAGTTTTTTTAATTTACATTTTGCTATATTTTATGAACTGCAGCAACTCCTTTGCAAAATACAAACAGCTCATCAAGGTCCAATGGTATCAGCTATGATAGGGGGTAAGGTTTATTCTTTGTAACGAAAATTTTCTATTAATAAAACGTTATTTAATTTGGGAATTAATAAAGGAACTTTTATATTTTATTTGTTATTCTGAATAGATTGTATGAATTTCTACATACGCAAGCAAAATCAACGGTTACACAAACATTTGAGCATGAAGTTAGTGGTTCATATCCAAGTCAAGGTAATGATGTTATTAAATCAAATGTTGTTTTAATACTTTTTCATAACATATTCTGCTTCATTGAATATATGGTAGTATTTTCATAATACTATATATTTAAAATATTCTTTATTTTTTATCAATTTTATAGACAGCAAAAATGCTAGGCAGAGACGCAAAAGCATAATGGATCGAAAGAAAAATTCTGAGCAATTTGTCAAGTCCCTAAATATCAGTAAAATGAGTGATTTAACCAGTAAGTTATCAACGTCTGTAAAAACATCTTTGTAGTATACTATTATTTTAAATTTTTTATATAGCATTCGTATTTTTACAATACAAGAATTATTATCACTATTCTGATATAATTGTTGTGATAGGAATTGATATGACGAATGATGAATCAATGCGTTCAACTGATGGGCCTCCCATATGTGCAGAGAACTCTATATCACAGTATGGTGATACAAAATTAAACTTTTTTTATATTCAGTTATATATATATATATATATATATATATATTAAATAAATGTTTTATAAGGATGATTCATGTTCTCATATTTTTTAATTTTTTTTTATATAAGGATGGAAATCTCTTCTCCAACTGATTATTGTCCACGATTAATTTTAGGTGATTTGTTTTTCATTTTTTAAATTTAATTTGCCAATTATGATATTCTTTGTAACATACTTTCTGTATTAATGCATTTGTTTAGATTATTGGGATGTGGGTGATCCCACTTATGTTTGTAAACATTGTGGAGCACAAATGTGGTACGAAGAGAGAATTAAGAAAGATCGTAAGGCTACCGTTCCTGAGTTTAGCATGTGTTGCGCCAATGGAAAAGTTAAACTTCCTTTGTTAAAAAAAGCTCCTGAAACGTTGCTTGAACTGCATGATAATTCAAGTATAAGGAGCTGCCATTTTTTACAAAATATTCGTCTGTATAACATGCTTTTCTCCTTCACATCCTTTGGGGGAAAAGTTAATGGGTCAGTAAATGATGGTTCAGGTCCTTACTGTTTTAAAGTTGGAGGACAAGTTTATTATGCAATGGGCAGCCTTCTTCCCCTTGATTTTCATACTCCAAAATTTGCTCAACTTTAGATATATGATACTGAAAATGAAGTTGAAAACAGATTAGGATTCCTAAGGTATATAAGTTGATGTAATTTTTTAAATATTCATTTATGAATCATATTATAATTCCCGAATTTACGCTAATGTCTGTTATTTAATTGTTTAATACAATTTACAGATCAAACAATAATGAAGATTTGCTCGATCAAAGCATTTTCCTATCATTGAAGGAGATGTTAGATAAACACAACAGTATTGTCCAATCTTTTCGCTATGCTAGAGACCGTTATAACGAAGATCAACTCAAAGGCGTGAGATTGAGGCTTATTCGAAAGCGTGGCAATGATGGAAGACTTTATAATCTTCCTTCCGCATCTGAAGTAGCTGTTTTAATTGTTGGAGATATAGACACCGCAATGGGTGATAGGGACATCATTGTTGAGACACAGGATGGAGTTTTAAAGCGCATTGATGTTAAACATCCATTATATTTGGGTTTGCAGTATCCTTTGTTATTTCCTTACGGTGAAGATGGTTATCGCGATGATGTCCATCGTAATTCAATTTCTACTGGTAGGACAAACCCAAGATCAACTATCAGCATTAGAGAATTCTTTGCATTTAGACTTCAGATCAGATTAGGAGAGTCCCAAGTTCTCCATCAATCTATAAAACTTTTCCAACAGTTCTTGGTTGATGCTTATACAATGATTGAGCACGAACGTCTTAATTTCATTCGTTACAATTAGGCTAATCTCAGAGCTGATTTGTACGAAAATGTAGTACACACGTTTGACAGAGGAGAAGATACAGCGGTCAAAACAGGCAGGCGTATTATTATACCTTCTTCTTTCACGGGCGGCCCAAGATATATGGCAGAAAATTGTAAGGATGCATTTGCAATTTGCCGTTGGGCTGGATATCCTCATATTTTCGTAACAATTACCTGTAATCCTAAGTGGCCAGAAATTTCACGGTTTCTTAAGGCTAGAACGCTGAACGCTGAAGATCGTCCAGATATTCTTTGCAGAGTATTCAAGTTCAAATTGGACCAGTTGTTACAGGATTTAAGAAACGGACATATTCTTGGCAAAATTAATGGATGTACGTATTTTTTTTATTTGTTATTATTTTGGAATAACTTTTTTGCATTTTTTATTAAAATCAAAACCATATCTTTATATTTCCTAATTTTGCATGTACGTATCTTATTTATTTTTTTTATTTTTTTTACGTTTTTTAATACAAATTATTGTCGTTTGTTTTGCTTGAAATTAACAGATGTTTGTACAATTGAGTTTCAAAAACGTGGGTTGCCTCATGCTCATATTCTACTGTTCTTGCATTCCTCTAACAAGCCAGAAAGTGCTCTCGATATTGACAAATTGATTTCTGCGGAGATTCCTGATAAAGATTGTGATCCTTCATTATTTGCAGCTGTAACAAGTTATATGATGCACGGTCCATGTGGTCCTAATAATTACAAGTCTCCTTGCATGAAAGAGGGAAAGTGTTCAAAGAAATTTCCCAAAAAATTCAGCTCCCGTACAATTATTGACGATGATGGATTCCCTCATTATAAAAGAAGAAATAATGGGAGATTTGTTATTAGGAACGGTGTGGAGCTAGATAACCGTTCTGTTGTGCCTTACAATGCAAACCTTCTTTTAAAATATCAAGCTCATATAAATGTTGAATACACCTGTCAGAGCAGTGCTATTAAATATCTTTTTAAATACATCCATAAAGGAAATGATCGCGTGACAGCTGCTATAAAACATTCAGATCCAACTCTTGATGCATCTCGAAAAAATGATGAAATTCAAATGTTTTATGATTGCAGGTAGTGAATTTCAAATATATGAATGGGTGATTTTTTTCGCTTATTTGAACTGAATTATGATTTTTTTTCCCTTTCTTTGGAATAAATTTCTTCTTTTATTATAGGTATGTGTCTGCATGCGAGGCTGCTTGGAGAATTTTTGGCTTTGATATTCATTTTAGATATCCTCCTATTCAGAGATTGTCATTTCACTTGCCTAATGCAAAGAATGTTGTTTTCCGGGATAATGCATCAATATCTGATGCGAAGACAAGAGCTGAGTCCAGGAGGTCGATTTTTGAGGCTTGGATGGAAGCAAACAAAAAATATCCAGAAGGAAGGCATCTAACTTATGCTGAGTATCCAACCCATTTTGTTTATAAAGAAGATACCCAAGAATGGCACCCTAGAAAAAAAGGATTTTCAATCGGTAGAATAAATCGTTTCTCAGCTAATAATGGAGAAGATTCATATCTTCGGATGCTTCTTACTTTTCAGAAAGGTTGTACAAGCTATTATGATTTGAGAACAATTAATGGTGTGCTTTTTCCTTCGTTTAAGGATGCATGCTATTTTTTGGGTCTTTTGGATGATGACAGAGAGTATATCGATGCTATTAAAGAGGCAAGTTCATAGGGGTCAGCTTCTTATCTTCGTAATCTGTTTGCTCTTCTTTTATTTAGCAATTCAATGACTAGTCCTGAATTTGTTTAGGAAAAGTCTTGGAAATTCCTCTCTGACGATATCTTATATCTACATAGGAAAAATATAGGATGTTCAGGTATGTGTTTATAACAATTTTCATGCATTATTTCTAAAGACCAGTGTTTTACTGCAACAAGAGATATGTCGACAATTTCAATATGTTAGATATGTTTTTCATGTTGATTACTTCAAGAATGGCATATACTTTCATGTTATTGTATGTATAAAGTCCAACATTATTATCTGTTTGCTTTGAGTTCAAAAAAATTAAAATTTTATAAATTATTTCACCTTTCTTTTTTATTAAAAATTTAAAACATTTTCAGTTATTATTGTTGATACGGAAAATAAGTTGTTACTTTAAGTTGAAATAAATGTTAATCTTAAAAATATTGTAACCTTTGTAAAGAAAACATTATTTTTTATTATTGATGTTACTGTTTAAGTCTGTTACTTCACATTGAATTAAATTTATTATAAAAAAATTTAACGTTTTTTTTAGGCTCCTTACAGTATATCATTGTTGTTTCTCGGATCTCAATGGTGAAAGAGTTTTATTTGTCATTTTAAAAATTAATTATACTTTCTTAAATTGAAAAATATTAACCTCCTCTTTTTTTTAATTCATTATAAAAAGTCTGTTAATAGAATAAGTCATTTTGAATTTCATATATATTCTAACGCATCTTGAAGTTAATATTTTTTTTTTAATTTTTTCTTTTGTTAATAATTCAATTTCTTAGTATTCTGTTATATTCTTTGTTTAGATGCATCTCTTCCAGAAGATTGTATAATAAATTCTACACTTGCTGAAATAGACAAAGTACTGCAGAGCAATGGTAGATCTCTATCAGATTACCCGTCAATGCCTCGCATAATGATGGAATCATTGATGGATATACAAAATAGATTGGTGCTTGATGAGTTATCGTATGACAGGTTATTTTTTATAGAAGAACATAAGAGATTATTACATTCCCTAACTGATGAGCAGAAAGATGTCTACGAGAAGATTATTTCAGCGGTTTCCCGAGGCACATGGGTTTTTTTCTTTCTTTATGGGTTTGGAGGCACAGGAAAAACATTTATTTGGAATACTTTGTCTGCATCTGTTAGATCAAATGGAAAAATTGTACTAAATGTTGCTTTGAGCGGAATTGCTTCCCTTCTGTTGCCTGGAGGACGTACAACACATTCCAGATTTCGTATTCCTATTCAGATCAACGTGTAACATAAGCCAAAATTTTACTCTTTCTAAGTTGTTGTCGAAAACAAACTTAATTATTTGGGATGAGGCCCCAATGGTACACAGATTTTGCTTTGAGGCTCTTGATAGAACACTTAGAGATGTTCTTAGATTTTCTAATCCGAGTTTCTGTGATAATCCATTTGGTGGAAAAGTTGTTGTTTTATGAGGTGATTTCCGACAAATTTTACCTGTGATTCCTCATGGTAGCAGACAAGATATAGTTCATGCCACTATTAATTCGTCTCATCTTTGGCCGCATTGTAATCTATTGACTCTGACCAAAAACATGCGTCTAACTTCAGGAAATAGTAATCAAAATTTGATGGAAATAGAAGAATTCTCTGAATGGCTTCTTAAAATAGGAGATGGTGATCTTGGAGATGATGTGGACGGGGAATCTATTATAACAATTCCAGATGCACTATTGATCAAAGAATCGGAAGATCCACTTTCAGATTTGGTTGATTTTGTGTATCCGAATATGTTGAATCATATTTTTGATCCTGCTTTTTTCAAAGAACGTGCCATTTTGACTCCTAAATTGGCAGATGTTGCTATCTTAAACGAGCGGCTTATGAGTTTTATTCCGGGTGAAGAACGAACATATTTGAGTTCAGATAGTGTTTTGAAGCAAGATGGAAATTCTGAGCTAGAGGATGTTGAATTCTCTCCTGAGATTTTAAATACCTTCTCATGTTCCGGACTTCCTGATCATAAATTAACTTTAAAGGATAATGTGCCGATTATGCTTTTGAGAAACATTGATCAATCAAAGGGGTTATGTAACGGCACGAGACTGCTAATTTCTAGATTAGGCAACCATGTTGTTGAGGCAACTGTTCTTACAGGAAGCAATATAGGAGAAACTGTCTTAATCCCTAGGCCCACTGTCAGCCCGTCTTCTCATACGTTTCCTATAAATTTCCAAAGAAGACAATTTTCCTTGGTGGTTTCATTTTCAATGACTATCAACAAGAGTCAAGGACAATCGCTTTCTCATGTTGGAATTTATCTTCCTAGGCCTGTTTTTACTCATGGACAATTATATGTGGCGCTATCAAGAGTAAAGAGCAAACAAGGATTGAAGATTCTTATATTTGATGATAATGGTTGTGTTGCAAATAGTACCTATAACATTGTCTATAAAGAAGTATTTCAAAGGTTAGTGTAGTTGATTTGATTTCTTTTTGCAGTTCACAAACTTGAATGCATTTATGATGAAAAAAACTTTTTTTTTTATTTTGTGCATGTCCTTCTGATTTTTTTTAGTTATGATTGGGATAAAGTTATGCTATATTTTTTAATAATTTTTATATATTTTTAAATGTCGTTAATGTCATATATTTTTTTTTCTTTTTTCAGATTATGATGTGCATTGCTTACGGAACCATCAAAGCAATTGGGAGTAAATTCAATTGGGGGTACAAATCCTATAAGAAATGCCTCTATTATGTTTGTGAAGATTTTGACAGATTGTTTTGTAATAACTGCCAAAAACATTGGAGTGATGACCAACCAAAGTGAGTTGTTTTGTCCAACGAAATTTTCTGATTTTTAATGTTTTGTTTTACTACATAATTGAAACTGATAATTTTTAAGTAGTCATTTCATATTTTGTCGAACATCTTATATATGTGTAATATTTTGGCTGATTGTTTATGTGATAACAATTCCCGTACCTATAGTTATATAAGTTAATAATTTTTATTAAACGTCAATTCATTTAGAAGGATGCGACAAGATTCGGTCGACAACCGACTGAAATTTTTTTCCCTCCGTGCAGCGCACGGGTAAATAACTAGTTCGATACTATTTTTTTGGATATTGTTTTTGTTGTGTGTTTTGATTTTTGACTTAAAAAAATACCTATTTTATTAATTATTATACAAAATAATTTTTAGAATAAAAAAACACAGAGCACGATCAAACAGATGAGTTTTTATTTTTACAAAACAACCATATCAACATGTTTTTTTAAATAAAAATTTATTTTTAAAAGCAGTATTAAAACATGCCCTAAAACCCATAGTCCTAGATTAGGAGACTATCAGTTGCAGAGGTGGTTCATTCAGCACCTTTGGACCCATGTTATTTTTCAGGCTGGAATTCACTAGCCAGTGAGCACAGATGTTATTATTGATCCTTAATGATAAAAGTACATTATTATTAAAATATGATTTTATAATAATAACTTATATCGAAAATTTTTTATCTAAATTTTTAATTAAGTAAAATAATATAATTATTAATCTCAATAAATAATAACTATTAATTGTGGAAAAATAACGGTTAAATCTAATATCAAATTTCAAAATTTGATATGGTGTCAGAGGATCCTTCCCTATATATATATATATATATATATATATATATATATATATATATATATATATATATACTTTTCGTTTCTCAAACTGCTTAAAATAATTTTATCTCCGACTACTAAATCATAATCGTACAAAGATGGATCAATGGTGATAAAGAAAGAGAGAGAGAAAAGGGAATCATAACCATTCAATGGTGAATCAATTAATATAATGAAATAAATAAACAAACGATGTAATTTTTGGGTGGGCCGGAGATAAACTTATCTCAAGTTGCTGGAGAAATATTTTTCCCATATATATATATATATATATGTATCGGAAAAAATATTTCTACGACCATTTTAGATAAGGTTATCTGCGGCTACCCTAAAAACTACGTCGTTTTGATTAATGAAGGGTGTTTATGTAATTTGATGTGAATTAATGAAAGGTATTTTCGTAATTTTGTTTATTTTTTAAAATTACAAAAACACCGTTCATTAATCAAAATGACATAGTTTTTGGGTAGCTGTATATAACCTTGTCTAAAGGGGCTGTTTATCTAACGTGGCTGTAGAAATGTTTATCATATATATATATAACGAAAAATATTTCTCAAGCAGCTTGATATAAGTTTATCTTATCTCCCGGCTACCCAAAACTACGTTGTTTTATTTATTTATTTTCTTATATTAATTGATTCACCTTTGAATGGTTATGATTCCTTTTTCTTTCTCTTCTTTTATCACCATTGAATCATCTTTGTTCGATCATGATTTAGTAGCCGAAGATAAAATTACTTGAAGCAGCTTGAGAAATGATAAGCCTATATATCACCATTGGATCCTCCGCAAATTTAAAAATTTGACATAAAATCCTAATATTTGATTTTCGCTATTGAAAATCAAACTTGTTAATTAATATTAATTCCAAAAAAAAATATTACCATTGATTGACGGAAATTAACAGTTAGAATTTGATGTTAAATTTTAAAGTTTGATATTGGTGTCAAGGAATTCGCCACATATATTTACGTGGAGAGATATAATTAAGTTTTTAACTATTGAAAGCAGCATTCATTGAACATCAAAATTGTGGTTTTGCATCATCTAACCGGAATTAATAAAATCGGTTTTTCCATTGTCAATATTTATTTTTTATTCTCTTCCTTTTTTCAGGCTAAAACAACATGATGTAGAAAGTGCGAGAGAATGAATGCACAGAATTAGAAGCAAGCCTTTGTTAGAAGGAAAAAAACATGTCCACCTGCTGCATTTAACTGTTACGATTTGAATTCCATATCTTAATAAAGGAAGTTTATATTTTATGGGAAATATTACTCTTATTTTACATGAGATATCTTATCTCATTTTTTCTCACTTCGATTTCCGCACTCCACCTTTTTCTTTTTTTTCTTTTTTCTTACAATGGTGGGACCCACCCATTTTCTCTCTACCACATAAGATAATTATCTTATGTAAAAGGAGATTAATAAAACCCATACTTTATAGATAGCTTTTTTTTTTTTTGCAATGGAGAAAGTTGGTTTCACTAGTCTAACAGTTCGAAAATTCAAAATATTTAATTTACGAGATTATATTTATTAATTAATTATTAATATATAATAAATTATAATTATTAAATTGACAAAAATCAAAAATTAAAACTTGATAATAAGAAGTAATAAGAAAAGTAGATACTAAATATAGTATTTCCTTATTAATAATATTTTGAAGGAATAAATTGGAAAGTATTATTATAACTCTGTAAATACTGATATAAGTATAACAAACTGTAAATGATGGGCAAAAATGTCATTTCAGGAATCACTCGACTCTGTATCAATCTTCAGGAAAGCTAGGGTTTTCTCTCTCTTCTACTCTACTCTACTGGCGAAGAAGTGAAAGCAGCTTTCCCTAAGCGTAGCCCCTCTCTCCCTTCGTCTTTGATCAGCTCAGGTTTGTATTCATTCGCTCATTGATTTATTCATTTGTTATCTGATTAATTATTTTCCATGTAATTGTTCTTGCGCCCACTGCTACGTGTGACTGTAACGTTCATAATATTTTCTTGTTTGCGGAGCATGCTTTTCTGCCGATGTATTGCTCCGTCGTTTTAAAATTTTCGTTAAAAATTGTGTTTTCACTGAGTTTATTTATGAACTCGTGGTGAAATATGATTGCTTCTAATTTTACATGGAATTTATGGTGGGTCCTGATCTGGGTTGCGTAACTATAGCTGAATTTGAAATCTGAGACCCCTTTTTTTGTTCACTGTTTAATAGTATCGCATGTAACAGCATCAGCTCACATAGCCATAGATAGATTAAATATTGCAATATGAACTTTTGAAGCTTGCGTTAGTGTGTTGAGTACTTGTTTGTCAAAATAGAGGAGGCCTTAATGGTTTTGAAAAAATAAAATAAAAAAAAATACTATGTTGATAAGCATTAACATTTTGCTGTCTTGCTCCAACATTACCTTTATCCAGGCCGTTTTTATTTTGTCTAGAGTGGCTCTGTTGTCTCTTACATTTTGGACATGTTAATTTAGCATGCCTTGTGTCATTTAGAATATCTTCCTTAACCTTCATCTGGAATTTTGTTCTTGTGAAGTCGTGTATATATTCAACCTCAGCTATTTGGTGGATCATATTTTGGAATTGAACATTCACTTGGTCCTCTTCCAACAAAAGAATTTGGTCTTGGCTATATTATATGGAATGTTTGCAATAGCAGATTGTTTCAAATATCTTCAATCATAATCTTGAGATTCTGTTCTAAAGATTTTGACATTATTATATTTACAAAATTAAACTCTCTTGAAATCTTGTTAAGAAATCAAAGAGGGTTTATATTTGTACATTGCTGTTGAAGTATATTATCTTTTTCTTTTTGTGTTTTATGAAGAATGATATATTTTTTGTGTTTCCTCGACCATAGCAGATGGATTTTCATAGTTGGATTATTTGTTCTTACTTGTATAGTGGAACATTAGTTAAGGTTTGTGATGGGTCATTTGGAGGCTAGGGGAAGCGGCTTGTGTATTTCTGCAAAATTAACTGAACATAGTCATCAGAAATTAAGAGAAGGAAATCAATCAGACCAAATTGTTTTTGAGAAATGGTTATTTTAAAGGAAAAACTTTTTATCCTGTAGCAGGAGATAAATTTATGTCTAGCAATCCGAAAATGACATTGCATTGGGGTTTAGGAAAAAAATTCAGGGTATTTTAGAAATTTTACTTTTCTCATCATGATTTTTACTAAAATACCTTGTATTTCCCCCCCAAAACTACGTCGTTTTGGGATTGCAGGAGATAATTTTTTTTCTTGTTGCTGTATTTTTTAGTTTTGTTATGAATGTGACTGTTTTGTCCAGTTGAAATTATATTATGGAATTGTTACCAGTATGTGATAACAAAAGTTAAGGTGATTTATTTTCATTGGTTGTAGGTACAGTAAGGTATTCCTGAAGAGCCGCGGAGGTGTACTCTTGCCATATTGTTAGAAAGACTTATGGAACGTCAGGGTCATGATTATGCAGCTGCATCTGCTATGGCATATGCTCAGCAACAGAGACAAGCGGCTAATATGCAACAGCAGCAGCAGTTTGGATTTCATCCTCAGCATCAACAGTTTCCTTCATCAGTGCATGGTCCTCCATTTATACCCCCAGGTCCTGGTCCCGCACACCCCTCCATTCAACAGTTCCCTTATCATCATGGGCTGCAGCAACAGCCACAACTTCAACAGTTACACCCTCATGGCCCTCCCCCACCTCATCTTCTTCTTCAGCAGCAGCACCAAACACAACCTGCATTCCCTTCTCATTATCCTCCTCCACTTGTTCCATCACCTTTTTATGATTCTGCTCCACCCCCAGTTGCTCCCCCTTCTGATCCCGAGCTCCACAAGCGAATTGACAAACTTGTTGAGTATGCTGTGAAAAATGGCCCTGACTTTGAAGCCATGATATGTGAAAAGCAACGAGATAATCCTTCCTATAGTTTCCTCTTTGGTGGGGAGGGCCATGGTTACTACCGTTACAAGCTTTGGTCATCAACACGTCCCCCAGGTGGTCCATTTAGCCCACCTTTTCCACCATCTTCTGTGCCCATGATCCATCCTCCTCCAAATCCAATGATGAGCCCATCTCCTCTAAATGCTCCCCCAATGAATGCTGCAGGAATTGGTTCTTCACCTTCAATGCTAGGTCCACCTCCTTTCCAACAATTCTATGATCAACACCACCATCAACATCCTCAGTCTTTTGGGCTTCATGGTCGGCCTGAGTATGATCAGTCATCCAAGTCTTTCAAAGGGCTCTCTGGGCCACTTCCATCTGATGTAGCAATGGAGCTCGGTAATGTTCTTAACAATCTCAATGGCACAAAAGAATCAATTAAAGGTGCCAAACTTTGGTTCATGCAGAGATCTCCATTTGCACCAGCTCTAGCAGAGGCTCTTAGAGACAGGGTCTTTGCATTGGATGACGTTGAGAGACAGTTACATATAATATACCTTGCCAATGACATTCTTTTTGACAGGTAGCATACATTGTCATTTCACTGTAGAGCTAGTTTTTTATCACTGACAGAAACATAATTTGATTGATTAGCTTATGATAGACTCTTACAATTGTGCTTCTAATCGGAAGAAAATATGGGTCACACTTTCACTGTGTTTTGTGTCTCTAAACTAGTGTCAAAATAAAATTGGTTGTTGGTATAGGTTTATCTCCATTTGCAATTTTTGCCTGATTGGTGGAATTAGTTTCATGACAGGAGGAATGCAATAAAATCATGTGTGCTAGGAGTTACAACTTATTTCCTCCCCACTCTTATTTGTTTCATTTTTCTCAAAATCTGCTATTTCCATCCTAAATCTTTTGGAAAATAGCCTGAAGCTCATATGAAATAGGCAAACAATATGTTGTCCTATCAAAGCCCTCTTCACATACTAGTTGTGCGGTGGATTTTATTTGGGATGTTTGCTAATTGTTTCTACTTTCTAGCTCAAAGGCTTGCGATTCATGTCTACTCTCTATTTACCTTATGGATGAGGCCAATTTGTTTCTGCCCCTATACTTGTTCTCTTCATTTATAGAAATAGAACATTTTTTCCTTTCATTGAATTTTTTTTGCAAGTTTTTGGCTGGCAAGATCTTCCCTCTCTTGCTTATTTCCATCTTGGTCATTGATAATCTTTTTGACATTGATACTAATATTGATGGTTCTACTTTTCATTATCTCTGACTTTTGCAATTCTAATTCACAGCTTGAATCGAAGGACAAGCAGTCATGACCTTGACAATGAAGCCTTTGCGTTTAAGCCTGTTTTAGGCTCAATGCTTGCAAGAATTTATCATAACCCACAAAGCAATGAGGAGTATAGGAAAAGATTGCAGCAAATGGTGGAGTTCTGGGCTTCTAAAGAGGTATATGATGGAGAGACTATATCTTTACTGAAGGGTGAGATGATTGGTGGGCCACAAACAAATTCTTTTTCTGGGGCTTCTAAGGATTTATCCTCTGCTTCTGCAGATCCAGGTGCAGGTAAGCTTCTCTCTTTAACCAGAATGTGTCGAGGGATGCAAAAGTCAGTGAACTACTTTTCTCGTGATAGCCACATAATTTCCAGTATATGAGACAATAAATGGTTTGAAAATGGGCCCTCGCCCATGGGAAATAAAAACCACAAAATGTACCTCTTGCTTTAAGAAAATCTGTTTCCTTGCTTTTTTGCTTTCTCTCAGAAAGGGGAAGGTCTTGACTCGAGTAGCTTCTGGTGTGTCATCTGTTGTAAATTTATCTATAAAACATTGCAACCTATTTTGGTAATTACATGGTCACTCGAACTGGCCACCAGTGATGGCATATGAATATACCATGTATTAAACCAAAGACTATTTTAAAGATAACTTAGTTTAGTACCTTTAACATTATTATGAAGTTTTTATCTTGCTACAAGAGATTGATTGTTTAAGAAATTATTTATAACTTATTCTCCCCTCCCAATTGCAGGAATTTTGCAGACTCCCAATCATATTGTCCAGCAGTGGCAAGCTGATAGGCTGGGCTCTGGTTCAAGTGTCTTAGACCAAGATCGTCCTGATAAACATGCAGCTCCAGGGCAGTCCATGCCAGCATCTCTGGCAGCTCAGCAATTTCTTCCAAATTCTGCTCCTCCCAGTGCCTTTCCAGGGTCCATGACTATACCATCTTCTGTTCAACCTGCTAATCAACAACCTGGTGCACATTTATTGCCCCCTCCATCGTCCAGCACCAGTGAACAATTGCCACCATATCCATTGTTCCCACCCGGCCTCATTCCTGGAATGGTTAGAAAGATGCAGATTGGAAGTGGGGTCCCATATTCTCCTTTGAGCCCTTTAGACATCCCAACTATGATACCACCATCAACCGTGCCACCATCAGAAATTCTTCAAAGAGTTTCAAAGTTTTTTAAAGAAATTGGAGAGGTAAATCCTTCCGAGGGCCCTATGAATTCTGATTCAAGAGATGAAGATGATGAATATGAGAGGGATCCTCCAGTACGAAAGGGAGGTGCTTGCATACCTCCACCCCCAAACTTGCAGGTTGATCCAGAGACGGGGACCTATGCTGATGGAAGTGTAGATCGGAAACCAGGATCAAGTGGCTCAGGAAGGTTGGGACTTGGGGCAACAGCCAATCCCAATGAGGTGAGTCAGTATGATGATGTATATACATCTTACAGGAAGCAGAGAAGCACCAATTACCATACATCAATGAGCGCTAGAGCGGCAGCGAGATGAAAGCCTATAGTTACCTTGTCATCAAAATTTCGGATTGCTGGGTGTTAGACTAGGATCTGTTAGCTTCGTCTTTGTTAATGTTTCTCTGAAAAGGTGTAGTTAAACTGGTATTTTTGTTTGTTATGAGCTAATGATCCAATGTGCCAATTTTTCTGAGCAATAGTTGTGGACTTCTGATTGTCATTAAAGTCTGGGGAGAACAACAATAGATAGGGAGGTTGGTATCACTGACATGTGATTGCATGTTAAGGAAAATGTTGTGTATATAAAGCACTAATGGCTTCCGAAAGCATATCCTCATTGAATTCGCCCTCAAAATTATCCCTATTTTCCAAATTATGTTATATATCAAGGGTATGCAGATTTAAGTTCTCTCTGACCCAAAAAAAAAAAAAGGTTAACTATGTGTAATATAGCAGAGGAAAAAATTGATGAATGAAAAATCGGTTGACATTTTGTTTAAATGATTGAAGTGAGAATGGTCAATATACGTTGAATAGGATAGTATGGTTTTGACTTGACATGTTAAAATGTCGGGAAATTTTTTTATAGACTAATAAAGAGTATTTATAACTTTGGAGCCGAAAGAAATTTACGAAAATTTAAGGGCGTGCACTTACTTCAAAAGTCTTTATTTTTTCATTCCAGTTGTTCATATATTATAGTATGCTTGCAGCTTTAAAAAAAAAAAATATGCTTGTCACCGTTTTGGTTTATATGGATTTATAGAGGTGAAACAAATGCTAAAGCATGTCTTGGATATGCTTAAATTATAGAAATAAATATTTTGCTTTTTTAAATCTCTTAAAAGAATTGAATATAAATTATTTTAAACACAAAATAACTATTCAAACAGGCAAATAAAGATTAGGTTTCTTCTTTGTAGGAAGTGACAGGCATAGGGAGTTCCTTGCAAAGTATATGCAGTTTATTTGGTCATTTTATGAATTTTAATTAAACATTTCCCCGTGTATTAAGCACAATGCATAAATTATTAATGAATAAAATAAGAGTTTAACTTATATCTTTTATCCCTCGAAATTAAACTTTTATAATAAAAACGTTAACCAACACCAACAACACATGTCATTTATCCTAAATTAATTGATAATAGCGAAGAACCAAAATACATTACTTTTCCAAATTAGTTGAAAATTAACTTGTTTTGGAGCCAAAAATTACTTTTTATCAATAGCTTTTTGAAAAAGGATATTCTCAAGTATGCTATAAATTATAAATTTGATAATAAAAAATTTATATTAATGGGCCAATATTTTCGCTTTGACCAAAATATTTTACTTACGCCATGGGAATCTAGGAGAGTAGGAGTTCAACACTCTTGACAGATGCTTGTCCACATTATGAATAATTAATCATTGGGAAACTAATAAAGCTGCTACTAAAAATAGCTCAAAGATGAAAAGATCCAGTGTCGCACAAGTTCATCAAACTGCACAAAAAAAGAGATACAAATGAATGAAACTAGAGCATAACAAAAAAAAAAAAAATCAGCAAGTGCCATCAGTTACTTCCAAAATTGCAATCCTTCTCTGATGTAAAGATTCAGCAGGCTAGAATTTTTGAAATCTTAAGTTTTATCTGATGAACTAGATTGAAAGTATATCTTCCCGTTCAGCTTTATCTGATAAATTTACACTTCTCTCATCATCTTCAATATCTTTGTTCTTAACATTATTCTCTGCATCACTCTTGGTTTCCATTTTCGAATTCTGTGTGCTCTGTTCATTATCCTTATCTTCCAAGTTACTGTCTTCAATATATCTTTCTTTGATGCTATTCTCTGTGTTGTCCTCATTTGTGGCACTGATTTTTTCATCTGACAAATTTTCCATATATGTCTGAGTGCTCTCTTCGTTACCCTTGATTTTTAATTCACTAACTGCAGCATTTATGTTCTCGTTGTAAGTCTGTGCACTGTCCTCATTCACAAGGCCAATTTCATCTTTATCAGATAAGTTTCCCATATTTGAAGTCACTGTCCTCTCTTCATTGCCCTTGTTTTCAATATCTTTGTTCTTAACATTATTCTCTGCATCACACTTGGTTTCCATTTTCGAATTCTGTATGCTCTGTTCATTATCCTTATCCTCCAAGTTACTGTCTTCAATATATCTGTCTTTGATGCTATTCTCTGCATTGTCCTCATTTGTAGCACTGATTTTTTCATCTGACAAATTTTCCATATATGTCTGAGTGCGCTCTTCGTTACCCTTGATTTTTAATTCACTAGCTGCAGCATCTATGTTCTCGTTGTAAGTCTGTGCACTGTCCTCATTCACAAGGCAAATTTCATCTTTATCAGATAAGTTTCCCATATTTGAAGTCTCTGTCCTCTCTTCATTGCCCTTGTTTTCAATGGGACTATGCTCACCATCTACCTTGTCACTCACTTCAGCTTTATCGGATGAATTAACCATATCTGAAGCTTGTGTGCTATGTTCACTGCCGTTTGTATTGGTGTCACTATCTTCACTCTTGGCAATAGTCTCTGCACTGTTTTTCTTCACGGAACTCACTTCCAAAGGCCCAAGCTTAGCTTCAAGATCCTTGACAATGATGTTTAAAGATCTAACATCCCGAGCCTTTGCTAATTGGCTGCTTGATGATGCCTATCACAAGAAACTAAGAGTTTGAATATTGATTATAACAAGGATATTGGGTATCTTCTTCCCAATTTAGAGCATAATTTTTAAACTCATGGTCCAACACATCACCAAGTTAAGTAATTAAAACTAACACAACCATGTTGCCACCAAAAACAATTCTGTTGTATGGGCGTGATCAACTGGTAATGCAAAAACCTATTACTTACTAGAAAAGATGGATATCCATATTTCTTTGCAATAAGCTCTCTCTAATAGTGGAAAGTAAATTTCATTAGAACATGAAAAATAAATGTCTATAGCAAACAAAATCATCATGATTAAAGATTTATTTTTCTTCAGTGAGATGATATATTATATCAACTAGATTAAGTTAGGAAAAAATAAAAACATTTGTACTTGTAGAAATCATAATGTAGAGACCGGACAGGAAGCATGCACAAATGATATTGTAATAAAAAATTAATGTAGAAATCATAAAAAGAACCCTTTGTCAAATACAATCCTTTAACATTAATTAGGTGGTGTCACTAACCAATTTGGCTGTGAAATAACCACAGCCCACAGCCAATAATAAAATGCATTAGCATGTATTTTGAATTACAAGGATGTTTGAAAATTAATAGTCTCAGGCTCAGCATTGAAAATTTTGGGATTTCAGAACAATTAACAAAAAAAGAAAATGTAAGTGGAGAAAAGGAATAAGGGCCAAACTTTCAATCTCAATGATGACTTTTTCCATTAATACAGTCCGTTGATTTTATCCAATGACAAATTGACAATGATTTCCTTCCATATACCCTCATTCATAAAATTTTCCTTTCATATACCCTCAATAATGAAAATGAAAATATTTTCAGATGTTATGAATTCAGGGTTCAGAATTCTTCTCAAACACAAAGTTGTGTTTACAATTTTAGATAATAAACAAACAGTACTGAATTTTAGCAGGGGAAAGATTTAGGGTTTTAGCTATATCAAAAACACCCTGTCTTTATTGTTTACATAGACTGACCTGTACAATCTGCTCCACTCGCCGATTAAGATCTTCCCCATATGCTTCCTTGTGGATGCCTTTAAGCAAGTGCCACAAGTGAGAATCAACATCATCTGAACGATGTTTTTCAATCATACATTGTGCAACAGCAGACCTACAACCGACTGCATAAAAAGGACAATTTACAAGCTTCATAGGACAAACAGTTATACAGTGTCTGTCCATCTCACGTCTCATAATGCTAGCTGAACACTTCTGTTCACATGGAATTATTTTGAAAGGACACGTTGAATCATGCTTGTTCAAATGGCCTGCACAGAATTTGGCATTGCATCCCTCATTTTGGCAGATCATAGGTCTAAAGTTGCAGTTGTGAACATGATTGTCAAGCTCTTCTGCAGAACTAAACTTCATGCTGCAATGAAACGCGTTCTCGAAGTCAACATTCTTAAGCAAATTTTCTGCAATTGTTTCTCTTCTATCAAGTGTCCAAAAACCATTCATTTCCATCTCTTGAACAAAATCATCTATTTTGTCTTCTCTCTTTTCACTTAGCAGCCATCCTGAAACCCGGCTAAACAAATTCCTCTTTGAACTTGCGTAGTCATCAACAAAATTAGAAATGATATCAAAAGGATGATCCGATACCTCGCCGTCAGGACCACCTTCCAAGATAACAGACTCAGCAACAAATGATTCACTTCTGAGGGTAAGATAATCTATCATTTCCTTTCTCAAATCAACAGTCACTGAACCAGGAGTCTTGAAGAGATCTCCTGATGTGTTATCAACACATGCAGAGGCTAGTCCTGGAAGGAACATTTGAGCCAACTTGTGAACTACTTCTGTATCACAAAGATCACAATATAACAAGGGACCTCTCTCTTTCTCATCTTCAATCTTCTCAGGCCCAAGGTCCACGTCAATTGTGGGCATGTCCATGCTTGATAATATCTAGAAACAAGTTTCAGGAAGAAATCATCATTATATACTCTTTTAATATCCTTGACATCACTTTTAAATTTCTTCAAACTCATTGTGTTTTTATACTATCCAGTGAAGACATGTTCCACATTATTTAAGACCAATTGCACAATTTAGGATTCCAGATATTATCATTTATAAAACCAAAAGTCAAAGATGACATTACGTTGGTACCTAAAACAGTTATTTTCACAACCTTAATTTCTCGAAATGCAACCAAATTGGGTTGAGTGAATCAAACCGTCTATGATCACAGCAACACATGAATTTTTCATTTAAAAAGCGAGTGCCCATCTTCCAATTTTTGAATATCTTAAAAGGAATTGAAGAAAAAACAAAACTTACCGACATGGGTATTGAGATCTAAAATGTTAGCTTCTGATTCTGAACCTGTCGTTGAGAATTTAATTTTGAAGGTACTTTCGATATAATTAACGAAAGTTACAACGGCGGAGCGGAGTCGCAGTAGCTGCCACAGGCTATATTCCATTTACCCAACTCTTCTTTCTAACCGTACAATATTAATTTTACTATTTCATTTTATTTTTATTTTTGTAAAAATAGGAATACAATATATTCTTTATTATATTATACCAGATAAATTTATTTTCATCGCACATGAAAATACGTGGAGTCATATATTTTTTTCACATGCAATTACATAAGCCTCGTATATTTTTATCATAGTTGTTAAAATCTCGATTTATCACTACGATTTTACGTTTTTACAATTTTTTCCATCAAAATGATTTTATCAATATTTCAAACGCCTCTACGTTTTTACGATTTTGTAGTCCCCTTCCAATTTTATTTAAAATATCAATTTTGATAATATTAATTTTTATGTATGTATACGAAATAAATTTATCTTTTAGAAACATTAAACTCATACAATAAATCACTACAAAAATATGGCCCCATACACCAGACCAGATCAAGTGCTTATAAAAAAATATGCTACTAGTGTCCTTTCCCAAAACAAAACTAAAAAATCTTATCTTCTCATGTGGTGTTATTATATATGAAGAAATCATGTGAAATGATCACAATAATTTATAATTAAATCAATGTTGATATGGCGTGGATGTCATTGTGATCATTTATATCATTAATTATTATTTATGATCGTAATTATATGAAGGAATACGAGTAAAAAAGGAAGTAAAATTTAAAATGGACGGTCAGAATACTTCATGTATTTTGGTTTGGTTGACTCCAATAGCTAGGCTCCTGATTCTTATTAGTCAAAAAGGTTAATTCTTGTTTGTTTTGGAATCCTTATAAATTAAACAAATATCAAATATATTGTGAACATTAACATGTTCATAATTGATTTTTTTTTCTTTTACGTAAGAAAATTTTAAATATTTTATAACGTTTAAGTTTGAAGAGTGATATTGTGTTTCAATCATAATTGTTTGAATGCTAAAGTTTTTCGTGCAATATTTATGATTATTACAAAGTGATCAGACCAAATACGGTATGGATAGCCCAATACGTATTAAACTCAAATCACACACGGTTGAGACTTCTTCGGTAGTTTTTGGTCTGGGCCTGGTATTGCAGTTGGGGTGAGCCTGAGCTCTTTGTCCTTCGTTCTTCACGTTGCACCAAATGGAGGTACCTGTGAAGACACTCCGATGCTTAAGTCAGTATCAGAGGCAGGTGTTTATGTTGTGAAAGTAAAGGATGATCGTATCTTGGTGGTATATCGTGTGTTTATATAGTAACTAGGATGCCGCCTTAGTTAAGGCGGCTTGACTTCTGAGTGGTCAGTCTTGGGCTGCAAGTTATTTAGGGGACTTACAGAGCCTTATCTTCCAAAGGGTCTAGTAGTAGATTAGAGGCAAGCTGGAGTTGTTCGTTGTTTACTGGAGCTTGAGACCATCGTGTCCTGTATGTCGCGATGAGGATATCGCGTCTGGAACGCCGCGATGTGAGCATCGCGTCAATACTTGTTTCTTGTGCTTTGAAGGGCTTGGGCTTTCTTTATAGGGCTTTGATTGAGCCTATATTTTATCCGGATCACAAAGGATTCCAAATTTTATTAAATGATATAAAATATTTGAATTTTTGTGATGAAAATAAAAAAGTCATCAAAGTATCATTTTTGTAAATAAATTTAATATTTTAAAATTTAGAAGAATTCTCAAATCAGACGAGATAGATGAAAATTATTGATGATGTTGATTATTATTTAATTGCTTGAATGGTATTAGGTGGCATGTTCCATTTAATTGCGTATGAAAATGCATTTTATCATAACTAATATTTTAAAATTAAACATGAAACAAATAATTTTATCATACTCAATTTTTTATTTTTTTAGCACAGCAACTAAGATATAAATTTTTTGATTACCAATTTTTTTTTTTTTTTTTTTACATATACCTCACGTTCCAATTAATTATTAACATTTTTTTTTTCATGTTATTGCCTTCAATGTAAGTGAAATTATACTCTAACGTGAAAAGAAGAGATCATAAGCTGAAATATATGTAAAATAACTTTATCAAAATTCAAATAAACTACAATTCACTCGGAATAATGGTCACGGATACATAATATTATATTTATTTTCTTTTATATAGTAAATTTATATTAAATTATAATAATTAATTAAAGAAAAATATATTTTTTATGTTATATGATATAATTTTATCTTTGTATAATATAAAAAAAGTGAATAGAACTATTAAAAGAAAAAAAGGAACAAATAAAAATAAATCTTGTATATACCTAAAGACAAAATTATTTCATATAATCCAGTGATGAATCAAATAAAATTAGAATTTTTTAATTTAGTTATTTTCACAAATTAAGTTTATTAATTAATTATTAAATTCATAATAAATAATAACTGTTAATTAAGTAAATCAATAATTAAAATATAATTATAAAAAATTATAAAGGTTCGCTTTTTTCATAGTTACTGTGTATAAGTTATCTGTGATAAGTTCAATACGATATCGTTTTGGGATGAAAATCATGAATTTTTATAATTTTAATTTATTTCAAGATGATTATAGTCTTTATAATTATAATTTTTAAATATTTCAATCTCGACGTCGTTTTGAGAATAAATATAGATAACTTGTACGTAGAGTAACTGCATAAATATTTTTTTATAAATTATAAATAAAAATAAGTTGAAGTATAACCGTGAACTAAATCTCAATTAAATTTATAAGTGAGATTTTATGCATCAATAAATACCCTCTCTCCTTCATCATCTTGTTTGTAGCATGAAAGGAAAATAAAACGAAAACCAAAAGCCCTCTTCTTCATCTTGCTGCCTAGTTCATGCACTATACACTGTGCATCATCATCATGTTGATTATGGTGTAACTCTAGTGTCTTAGTTTCAATGAACGCTATTCCAAGCCTTGTCTTTCTCAATTTTATAAGGTAATAATCGATTATCGCAAACCTAAACTAAACTCTTCAAGGTCGTCAATGGCGGTTTCCGAAGAAGAATGCTCTTCTGCTAAGCCAGGCTCGTCTTCATCTTCATCTTCCTCCACCGCGCCCTACTTCCTTAGCAAGTGTGTTCTCAGAGGAAGCGTAGTTCTTCAGGTTCTATACGCTCACATCCGTTCTCCTTCCTCCAATGACGTCGTTTTTGGCAAGGTTCTTCTTCTTTCTATCTATCTATCCTTTATTTGGCGTAACAACTGAACTATGATTCTCTTATTATCACTGTACTGTTATTTGATTAGGATAACATGCTGCGGCTATTCATTTTGTGATTTCAGGAGACATCTATAGAATTGGTGGTTATTGGTGAGGATGGGAATTTACAATCTGTGTGTGATCAGCCTGTTTTTGGAACCATTAAAGATCTTGCCATATTGCCTTGGAATGAGAAATTTCGTTCGCGGGATCCACAGGTGTGTGTTAGTTCACTGCCTTTGCCAATTTTGAATGAAATTAGTTGTTGAGAGGGGAATTTTTTTTTTTCCTGCCAAGGTGGGAGTTTATTTATTCCTTTTTTTTGTTCTGTAGATGTGGGGTAAAGACCTTTTGGTTGCTATATCTGATTCTGGGAAGCTGTCATTGCTCACATTTTGCAATGAAATGCACAGGTTCAACTTGTCTTTTTCACTTACTCTTTTTCCCTGTACTGATATAAGGTGTTATTGAGGAGTGTTTCCAGTTTGGTTCATTAAAGCATCTTTATAACAGAACCACCACTTATTACAATTCAGGAACCACAATTTATAGGGAAATAATTAACTTTTATGAATCAATATATATATATATAATATTCCCTACTAACCTTTCTTCTTTTTCTTTATGCATCATTGTAGGTTTTTTCCTGTAAAACATGTTCAGCTATCTAATCCTGGAAATACAAGGGATCTTCCTGGAAGAATGCTAGCAGTTGATTCCAGGTGACGTCTTTTCTGGTCAAATTTTTTTACTGGAAAGCATATTTTTATCTTTCTTGTTATTTCTCAGTTGTATGTCCGTGTGCCCTGTTCCTATTCTGTAAGCATATGTTACTTGCTTCACATATTGCAAATAATAACATAGCCCCTGTAATTGGTCTATGAAATTCCAGGACAATATTTGAAGGGCTCTGTTGATAGCTATTTTATTGGAAATGTTTTCAATTTTTTACCTGGCTATAATATATTATCCCCAAAACCATGCTTAGGGAACTGCTGTGCTTTGCAGCATGCAAGTGTTACTTTGGCTGATAATAAACGGGTCATATGGATAAGATCTCCTGATGTCTTCAAACAATGATGATTTGTGGGCATAGATTGTAATGGTTGGGACTGAGATGGGACTAACATTCATATTATATTCCCTTCCTCCTTGGCTTTTCTATATTCAGTAAATGGATGTATCCTCTGATGCATTTTAAAATCTACTTTTAAAGTCACTTTCAAATACAAGAGAGTAGAATATTTGCTCGTTATACGTGTAATGCTCCTGGCCCTGGGTAAATATAATTTTACGGAAATGTGTACTTTCTCTCTTTTCTATCTACTCTAATAATTGTTATTCTCTTTTTCTATAAAAAAATTATTCCAAGGCAATGTGATGAGAATACAAACTAGGCCCAAGAAGGAGCTATATGGTTACCTCAGGCTCACTTGTTGTAATCGGGTGCATAACAAGAGAATAGGGAGAAGAGAAATTAACTTCTGATGCACCTGAGCTGACTGATTTGGATTTGGCTTTTCTATAATTTATTCCATAGTTTAGGGCTTTTCAATAATTGTTAATCATTTCCCTTTTTTTTTTTTTAGATTACGTTTGAGTGTACGTTATCTCCTTTGATTGTGCATGATTATAGTTCTTTACTTTTTTGTTATTTTTATTTTGCCTATTTAAGGCTTGGAGAACCTTATTGTTATCATGTTGTTTTTGGTTAAATGAAATTAAGAAAAGAGAGAAAGTATTTTCTCGCAATCTTTGTGTTCGTTCTTTCTGTTTAGCCAATAGGTTACTGCTTCGGCATTATTTGGTAATCAGAGCTCTGGTTGTCACATAAATGACTGAACAGAATAATGGCGATCGAGTTCGAGGTCGTGGACGACGGGGTCGAGGCGACGACGGCGGTAGAGGGCATGATAACACCCTTAATAGCGACGACGAACAACCACACATTGACGTGCGAGACGCCACAGTTATAGCTGCAATGGCCGCTATAATGGTAGAACAAGGTAGACAAATTCAGGAGCTTGAACAACTGTTTGCCCAAACACAGTTGGACGAGTCAGATGAAGGAAGAGAGTTTGAAAGATCATCTCATATATAGAGGAAAGGAGTATAAACCCATTATGGAACCAGGAGCGACAAGGACGAAGTCAACCCGGCGATAAATCCTTTTGTGCTAATATTGGGGTGAAGATTGAGATCCCGGAATTCGAGGGCACCACTCATCCAGATGAGTTTATAGGCGGGTTACACACCATCGAAAGGGTCTTTGACAAAAGACCAGAAGGTCCCGATCTATGATGAATATATGAAGATCAAGATGATGAGAATCCCGTTATGGGTGCTCCAGTTTATGGTGAGTTCCCTATCTATAATAAGTATGATTGGGAGCAAAACGATGAGAATCCAGAGGTGGAAGAAATCTCTTGTAGTGATTTCGGTGAAGAGTCAGTTATTAAAAATTCTAATATCTCTGACAAAGAGGAAGTTCTACCCAAAGATATCATGCGGAATGATTCTTCGTTCAATAAGTCTTTAGTTTGCAAGCAGTATTATGAATTTAGAGACAACGGGCATAACTACCCCATTGCTGTTACATTAGACAGAATTTTCCTATGACGGATCACAGATGCGATCACTGATCCAAATTGCAGGCAATAGTCCTTTTGGAATAATTTATGGGTTTTGTCCATTTACTCCCTTAGAACTCGTAATATTTCTAGTTCCCAAGCAGTTTAATCCGAATGCAGGTGAATATACCAAGCATATCAAAGAATTGCATTCACAACTCCTAATCTTAATTAGGAAATTTGGTGATATTGTACCAGAAGAATTGCCAACTGGGTTACCACCTAAAGAAGTTTATATCAATGAAGACGAAGCAGATTCGAGGGCGAATCTTTTCCAAGTGGGAGAGAATGATGCACCCGAGCTGACTGATTTGGATTGGGCTTTTCTATAATTTATTCCATAGTTTAGGGCTTTTCAATAATTGTTAATCATTTCCCTTTTTTTTATTTTTAGATTATGTTTGAGTGTGCGTTATCTCCTTTGATTGCGCATGATTATAGTTCTTTACTTTTTTGTTATTTTTATTTTTCCTATTTAAGGCTTGGAGAACCTTATTGTTATCATGTTGTTTTTGGTTAAATGAATTAAGAAAAGAGAAAAAGTATTTTCTCGCAATCCTTGTGTTCGTTCTTCTTGTTGTTTAGCCAATAGGTTACTGCTTCGGCGTTAACTTCTGCCTGCAACAAGCTATAGGCCTACTTCCACGGGCAAAGAAGACAAAATTCACTAAAATCAGCGAACATTACAAGGAGCCACTCAACATTCAAATTTTATTCCTAATACAACCACAACTTAATAACACTTTATGACCTATCGACTAATTTTAAATAATCTGTCTATCTAGGTATTGTGTCGTACTGCATGGGGCTGTACCCATGGCATCTGCCTCTTTAAGATTAGTTGTCAGCCGTAAAACCTTTGGGCCAGTCCCTCCGCTTCATTAATAGTGTAAAACTTTTTACTTTGTTTCAGTGGATCAACATTAGAGCCCGTTTGGACGGGCTTTTAAAAAAAGAACTTTCTTGCTTTTTTTAGAATGACTTTTTTTTAAAGTTAAAACTATTTTACGTTTGGATGAAATACATAAAAAATACTTTTAAATAAAAAAGTTATTTGGATGCTAAAATTAATAAGCACTTTTTATATATAAAATTACTAAAAATGATGTGATGGTAGTGGGGTAGAGTAGTTGGAGTGCGATTGGGATAAAATTGAATTTTCAAATAATTATTTGACTTTTGACTTCTGTTTTTTCTCGTAAGTAAGGAATCCTAACTTTAAAAAAAAAAACACTATTTTAACCTTTTTTTAAATTTCACTTTTTAAAAAAGTTGCTATCCAAATGCACAAAATGACTCAAAAGGATTATTTTTATTTTTTTTAAAAAAGGCCATCCAAACACTCACTTAAACCTATTCAATAAAGCAGTCACTAATGCTTAGTTAGTTAATGCACCATAGGTAAGTCAACTACTTGTGAATGATATGTGTTGCTAATAGAATGGAGATCTATTTTTCTAATTCTTTGGCTAAGATATTTTCTTCCTTACGTAATAAGGTGCATTTCTGGATTGTGCTTTTCAATGACCAACTCTCCTAAAAGCTTAACCTATTAGGTGAATTCTCATGAATAGTTTTATATCTAGCACCATCCCCATACAAGATTTCCTTGAGCTTAAAGCGTGGATAATGCATAGGCCCTCCCTACCTTATGTCAAAATTCAAATTTTGTTTAGAACAATGGAAGTGGCAAGGACCGAACTCCTAACTACTTGGTAAGAGAGGTTTTGATACCATGTCGAGGTCCAACTTTTCTAAAAGCTTAAGCTGTTAGATGAAGGTTCACAAATGATTTTATATCTAACAATTTTAAATTGGATGAAGAGATAAAGCATGGTAAACTTTTGTGAATATTACCAACTTTTGTGGTTCTCTTTTTGCAGTGGTTGTTTTATTGCTGCCAGTGCATATGAAGATCGGCTGGCTCTGTTTTCTATGTCAATGACTAGCAGTGATATCATTGATGAGGTACAAAACTACTATACCATCTTATAAAGCTGCATGTGGTTGTGGGTATGTGTGTGTTGGCAAAATGAATATATGATAGGACTTTTTCTGGTGGTATAGGCTATATGGTAGATATATATATATATATATATATATATATATATATATATATATATATTCGTGGCTATCTTTATGGTGTTCAGCTAATTATTTTTGGTGGATCTTCAAAGAGATTGGAAGGATTTGTTGTCTTGGTTTCCTTTATTTACCTTTTATTTTTATTTTGATGATGTTCTATACTTATAGCAGTATATATTATTCTCTTTTTTGTATTCTACTTTGTCTACTTTTGATAAGCATATTCTTTTGTCTGAAGAAATATACTTATGTGATCTTTTTTTGCTCAACTTCAGAGAATAATATATCCTTCTGAAAGTGAAGGGACTTCAAGTACTTCCAGAAGCATACAGAGGACCAGGATGCGTGGTACTATTTGGAGCATGTGCTTTATTTCACAAGATTCCAGACAACCAAACAAGGAGCATAATCCTTTACTTGCTGTTATTCTAAATAGGTACTGGAAAGATGGCTCTATAATGGAAGTTAGCTTCTGTTTCTGTTGTCTTTGTTTCCAATGATTTGTACTTACTGAAAACCATTTATTTTTGTGCCCTACAGGAGGGGAGCACTTTTGAATGAATTGCTATTATTGGAATGGAATGTTAAAGCACGTACAATCTTTATTATTTCTCAGTATGTTGAACCTGGGCCTCTAGCACATAACATTGTTGAAGTTCCTAACTCTCAGGGACTTGCATTTCTATTCAGGGCTGGTGATGTTCTCTTAATGGATTTTAGAGATCCTCACAAGCCATGTTGTGTCTATAGGACTAACTTAAACTTTTTACCCAATGCCATGGAAGAGCACACTTATATGGAAGACTCTTGTAAATTGCATGACGTAGATGATGAACGTTTTAGTGTTGCTGCCTGTGCTTTGTTGGAGCTGCGTGACTATGATCCTATGTGCATAGACAGTGACGATGGCAGTACTAATTCAGCTTATAAGTACATATGTTCGTGGAGTTGGGAACCTGAAAATAATAAAGATCCTAGGATGATCTTCTGTGTAGATACTGGAGAATTTTTTATGATTGAAATTCTTTCTGATTCTGATGGCTTTAAAGTTAATCTCTCTGAGTGTCTCTATAAAGGTCTACCCTGTAAAGCACTTTTGTGGGTTGAAGGTGGATATCTAGCTGCCCTTGTAGAAATGGGGGATGGTGTGCTCCTGAAATTGGAAGATGGAAGGCTATGCTATACAAGCCCCATTCAGAACATTGCACCAATCTTGGATATGGCAGTTGTGGATTATCATGATGAGAAGCATGATCAAATGTTTGCTTGCTGTGGTGTGGCACCTGAGGGGTCAATAAGGATTATTCGAAGTGGTATCAGTGTAGAAAAGTTACATAGGACTGCTTCTATATATCAAGGAGTAGCTGGTACTTGGACTGTTCGAATGAAAGTTGCTGATTCATACCATTCTTTTCTAGTTCTATCATTTGTTGAGGAGACTAGAATATTGTCAGTTGGCTTAAGGTTTACTGATGTGACTGATTCAGTTGGTTTCCAACCTAATGTCTGTACTTTGGCATGTGGCCTTGTGAGTGATGGTTTGCTTGTTCAGATCCACCAAACTACTGTTAGGCTTTGTTTGCCTACTAAAGCTGCTCATTCTGAAGGTATCCCTTTGTCCTCTCCTATTTGCACATCTTGGACCCCATACAATGTGAATATCAGTTTGGGGGCAGTTGGGCATAATTTTATAGTTGTGTCAACCTCTAACCCATGCTTTTTGTTTATCCTTGGGGTTAGATTGCTATCAGCTTATCAATATGAAATTTATGAAATGCAACGTTTGGTACTGCAGAACGAATTGTCATGCATTTCCATCCCTAGACCAAAAATTGAGGAAAAACAATCAAATTCATCCGTTTCAGCAAATAATAGCTGCATCTCTTCCTTTCTAAGTGGAGTGGACATAAATAAAACCTTTGTTATTGGCACACATAGGCCTTCTGTGGAGATTTGGTTTTTTGCACCAGATGGAGGAATTAGGGTAGTTGCTTGTGGGACAATTTCATTAACAAATACTATGGGGACAGCTATAAGTGGTTGTGTACCCCAGGATGTACGGCTTGTATTTGTTGATAAATATTATCTTCTTGCTGGATTGAGGAATGGAATGCTCCTTCGCTTTGAGTGGCCGGCAGAACCATATGCTTCGTCAACAATAAATGTGGTGGATACTGCTTTATCTTCTATAAATTTGGTAAATTCTGTGACTGATGCTTTTGACAAGAGAAGTGACCTTCCTTCTACGCTTCAATTGATTGCCATTCGTCGCATTGGTGTTACTCCGGTTTTCTTGGTGTCCCTGGGTGACACACTTGATGCTGATATAATTGTTCTGAGTGATAGGCCTTGGTTGTTGCATAGTGCAAGACACAGCCTTTCCTATACTTCTATCTCATTTCAACCATCCACACACGTGACTCCTGTTTGCTCTGTTGAGTGTCCAAAAGGAATATTATTTGTTGCAGAAAACAGTTTAAATCTGGTAAGAAAATCATAGTACAGCATTGCTTGCCGCCACATTTCTTTATTCATCTATTTCTTCGGTTGCTGTTTCTTTTATTACTTATAGTGCATTGAAAGATGCTTTTAGGTTGCAGATTTAAGTGCACAGGAAAGTCCTAAGATATATAATGTGTGTTATGATTACTGTCAATCATTTAACTCATGAGATGCTGGATTTAAGATGCTTAAGCAAATGCTGGCTAAAAGAGCAAATAAATATGGTCTAATTTGGTTGGATAGTCTCATTATATTTCTTACATAATTTTTGCTGGTAATGTTTCTTAATGGTGTCTACTAGTTGTTCTTGTTCCTTTTTTTGGGGGTGGGGAGGATAAGTGCCGTTTCATATATAATTCAGATTATGTACTCTATACAATATGAGAAACATATAGTGTTTTATTGATCTGACTTGTTTCTGTTCCCTCTTTTAACATTTTTTCTCACTAAGAAAAAATCACTGTTTTTCATACCTGATTCCATGTGTTAAGTGGTTCTTCTTGTCTGTGTTGTTGTCTTAACTTATACTGTATTCATCACGTGATGCTTTAGGTGGAGATGGTCCATAGCAAGAGACTTAATGTGCAGAAGTTTCATTTAGAGGGCACTCCACGGAAGGTCCTGTATCACAATGAAAGCCGAATGTTGCTTGTGATGAGGACTGAACTGAATTGTGGTACATGTTTGTCTGACATATGTTGTGTGGATCCCCTAAGTGGGTCAGTATTGTCATCTTTTAGACTTGAACTTGGAGAAACGGGAAAATCCATGGAACTAGTAAAGGTTGGAAGTGAGCAGGTGCTTGTGGTTGGAACTAGTCTGTCTTGTGGTCCAGCCATAATGCCCAGTGGTGAAGCTGAGAGGTATGACATTTAGCTTTCCTTGTCTTTTTATTTTCAAATAGTTTCATATCTAATTGATGGGATTTTCTGATAGGATTAAACTATCCTATCTGAAATAACAGAGATTATATTGATGGAACAAATGGATTTACAATGACAGATACAGAAATTTAAGAGCCAAAGCTCCTGGCAATGGAGGATCTCTCCTTGCCCCAGCAAAAGCAGTACAAAGTCTGAGAAATAATTGCCTAGCCCCTCCACTTACTCCCTCTCCACTAAATACAGAATATTTCCTCCATTCTCCCTTCTCTAACCAACACTCTACTCACCCCTAAATAACTAACAGTACTCGGGCTTGGGCCTGCAGGTATAAAAACCTGAAGAGGTTTCGGTCCTTTATTGCTGTTACTTGCATTCATTTCCCTATCTTTTTCTTTCTCTTTTGCTATCAAAATGCTGGTGACTGATCTTTCCCAAACTGCATATGGCTTTTATGACTTAAACGTTTAGGGTTTTATGACTCATCTTAGCCAAGCTGCTGTAGCTTATAGTAAGTTTCTTTTCAAGGAGTATACACACCTCAACTCACCAAAAGAAGAGTTTGACTCATGCTTTTGAATCCCCCAAGTGTGCAATAATGCAATATTTGTGTGCTAAAGATACTTCGTATAATTTATAAAGTAGATTTTCAAAAGCAAGCTTTATGTAGTAACCAGTAACCGCACCTCTAGCGCATGCCTTTCACCAGCCAATATAGGACCTCAAAGTTAAAACCTTTGCTTTTCATCATGAAATCTCGTATTATACACTTGCTTAGGAGGGGCAGTGTATTCTTCTGAATGGGCATTCTCCTTTCGTGGCAGATCTAAACTGAGGGGCACTGAGAATTTTTTCAATGTGATATATGGCATATATAGCTTGTTTGTTGCTTCATAGCTATCATTGTTTGAAAAAATATAATAGAGTGCATTCAAAGTCAGAGTATCCCTAACCACATTATAGCAATAATAAATAGATGCGGGTAGGAAGCTGTTTGGCCTCCAAGATAAAATCTATTTTAACATCACCAATTCAGGTGTGATAATTTTTGAAAACAGCCAACTGAACTCAACTTGGCCGCCTCCTTAAGAGAAATATCAAATATATTTTTTCCAATAATAATATGACGAAGTGCCAGGGCTGAAGTTTTTCAAAGTTATCTAAAACCGGCATAGCGACATATTTGTTTTACACCTTTATATTTACTTCAATAATCCTATATTCCATGTATGATGGCAAAACAAGTTAATATATTCATACTGTTGTCCAATAATTATAGTTTTGGAAATTTCTGCACTTCATATTAATTATCGTATTCTAATTTGATACTTCTTTGGCAGTACCAAGGGTCGTCTTCTTGTTCTTTGCCTTGATCATGTGCAAAATTCAGATAGTGGTTCAATGACATTCTGTTCAAAGTCAGGGTCATTGTCTCAAAAAACTTCACCATTCCATGAGACTATTGCTTATGCTCATGAACAGCTATCAAGCAGTAGCCTTGGCAGCAGCCCTGATGATAATAGTTCTGATGGCATCAAACTTGATGAAAATGAAGTATGGCAGTTCCGATTGGCTTATGCAAATACATGGCAGGGAATGGTACTTGCAATATGTCCTTATCTTGATAGTTACTTTTTGGCATCTGCTGGCAATGCTGTAAGTTGCAAACTCTTGGCTTTTTTCCATCCATTATGTCACTTCTTCGCTGTCCCGTCCTTTCTCAAATTCTCTTGCTTTGCAAATCATGGTTATGTATCAATGTTCAGTTTACGTAGTATTCTCATTAAGTTACTTTCTTGTTATTCAGTTCTATGTTTGTGGTTTCCCAAATGGCAATCCCCAAAGAGTGAGAAAGTTTGCTATTGGAAAGACGCGTTTCACGATAACATCTTTGACTGCACATTTTACTAGAATTGCAGTTGGTGATTGCCGTGATGGTATCCTTTTCTTTTCTTACCATGAGGTGAGTAGTGATGGCTGTCTCCTATGAAATTTTTTTTTTACAACTAAAAATCAAAGGAAAACAGGAACTCATTTTTTAGGTTTGGTTTTTATGGAATCTCCTAGGTAGGTATGCCGAGAGATTGGAGAGCAATTTTGTTTTGATGTTTTTATGTTTCCTGTTTTAGTTATCGTGGCTAACTTATTAAATTTTGTGTTCCTTTCCTTCTAATAAAATTTCATATTTTTTGTGTGACGTAACCCCCCCCCCCCCCCCCCCCCGGCCCTCCTTCCCCGTTTACTTTGTATTAAAGTTATCTTATGATTTTTATACTTGACATAGCAGGGTCACGGTCCTCTTGAATTGATATTTTGTTATTGTTTATGATGTTTCTTCATCAAGAAAAGCTAATGCTGAACTTGTTTAATTTATATCTTCTATGCTAGGAAGAAAGAAAATTGGAGCAACAGTACTCTGACCCATTGATATTTTGTTATTGTTTATGATGTTTCTTCATCAAGAAAAGCTAATGCTGAACTTGTTTAATTTATATCTTCTATGCTAGGAAGCAAGAAAATTGGAGCAACAGTACTCTGACCCATCACTGAGGCTAGTTGCTGATTGCATTCTCATGGATCCTCATACAGCTGTTGTTTCAGATCGTAAAGGAAGCTTTGCTATTTTATGTTCAGATCATTTGGAAGGTTAAATCTTTTGTATAATCAGCTTCTTAATAGCCACTTTCCTGCCTTTGGAATTTTATTATATCTGGACCTGGGTTTAAAAATATGAACTAGTTGTTTTTGCTACAATCCAAAATATTCATGGCTGTACTTCTGGTTGTGTTAGATTTGAACTCTATAGAAGAACAACAAATCAATTTCTAAAACAGAGTGGTCTTGCTAGTTACTGGTCGAATAAATACAATTTCATTTGCAAATATATGGAAGACCTTGTAGTTTGTATTCGGTTGCTAGCTTTTTTCACTGCTTGAGTGCTACCCACCTTTCATATTGTGAGTTGATTGTGCAGTTTATACCATAGATGAAGGTGACTTTAGAGGGATGCAATATGTCAGTATTGTCTGCATTTCGTATTGCAATGGACAATGGTGTTTAAGATTTTCAAAGAAGCCTATTTTATGCTATTGGCGTGCTTAAAGCAATTTCTTTTTTTATTTTTTATTTACCCTGAAAACAATATTCTAACCATATTTTGTTATTGCTTACCTGCATCAGGCAATGCAAGTACAGAATGCAACTTGACACTAAGCTGTGCTTATTTCATGGCTGAAGTAGCTATGAGCATAAGGAAGGTATATCCTTTAATGTCCTGGAAGAAGAGTTGTTAATTTGCATTAGATGTCATCAGCTTTTATAGAAATTTGACTTGAAATTGAAAGCAGAGGTTGCAGAATGCAGATGCAGTGTGCTGTAATCAATCACCACAATGATGTGAATTACTCTGCAAGAAATAGTTTTGATATAGCGTATAAGATACTACTTACTTTATTTTTCAAAAAAATTCTATAATACTATGCACTATGCAATTGTGAGCTGTGCAGGAGCATGTTTCTCATGCATGGCTTTCTTAAGTGTTATTACGACAATTTTTATTTTTTTTATTTTCATTCTTCCAACTGTATTCCTTTTTTTAATGTGATTTATACAATGAAGGTGAATGTTCCCTGGCTTTCTGATTCTACAGTAATGGAAATGATGCTATAGAGACAAATACATGGACTGGAATCCTGAAATTATTGCTAACAAAACTTTAAGGCACATTTTTTATTCATAAATATATTGTCAGAAATTGCTGAATGTGTATTCTATTTTTTTTTCTTATAATACTGGTACATACTTAGGCTGGATTTATTCAAAGTCAGCATCTTGATAAAAAAGGAAATAATTTAAAGCCAGAATCCCAATTTTTGGGATTTCCTAATTGTCTAAAAAATATAATTAAATGTACCTAATTCTAGGAATGAAATCTGTTACAGAATATTTCCTAATATAGATGATAGTATAGTGTAATAGGCACTCTTCATTCCCTGTCACAGTTTACGTTAATTCGCTTCTATGTATAATTTTGTTATTTTGGTAATGTAATTTTTATTTTTTATTGCAGGGCTCATATTCATACAGACTTCCTGCTGATGATGTTTTGCAAGGTGGCAATGGCCCCAAGACAAACGTTGACTCACTACAAAATACTATCATTGCTAGTACTCTGTTAGGAAGCATAATGATCTTCATTCCTTTATCAAGGTACCAATTAATTTTGGCAGCAACTCTATCAATAAATGTCAAGGTGAATAATTGTTGGGGCGGTTTGGTCATTGCCTGGAAACTTTTTCCTCATGTGCGGAAGTTGTTTGAGATAGGTATAGCAATCCAGGCCTGGCCAATTGGAAACTTGAAAGATATGTATTGAAATGTACAATCTTCAACTTTCAATGGATTGATGAGTTTTGGGCTAGGGCAATGATCTAGTCCTTTTGACTTGGGTTTGAGTTTTTAACGTGTCTGAAAAACAATCACTTATCTTATGTGTAGGGAAGAATATGAGCTCTTAGAAGCTGTGCAAGCAAGACTTGTTGTCCATCATTTGACTGCACCTGTTCTGGGAAATGATCATAATGAGTTTCGTAGCCGGGAAAATCCAGTAAGAACTACGAACTGGATTTAGTCCAAATTTGGCATTAAATGCTTTTGTTTATTGGAGAATTTAAAAAAGAAAAATACTGCAAAATAGATTTTCACTAGTTGAAGTACTTCATTACAAGGTTATTATTGAATGTTGGCTTGAGTTTCCCCTACGCGTGATGCAGAAAAAAATTACAAGTTTGATATATTTCTTGAACTCTGTAAATGGAATAGATTTTTCCATTCACATCCTTGGTTTGTTCTCCTTTAGTCATTTGTTTTTGCTTACATCTATTTTATATTAGGTTGGAATACCCAAGATACTTGATGGTGATATGTTGACTCAGTTTCTGGAGCTAACAAGTATGCAGCAAAAGATCATTTTGTCTTCGGAGCCACCAGATATGGGAAAACCAAGTTTGAAACCACTCCTACCTCCACATGTTCCTGTCAATCAGGTGGTTCAACTTCTTGAACGAGTTCACTATGCACTGAACTAAATACCCATTTCTTGGCCCGCTTTTTCTTTTTACCAACGGTACGTGGAAAGCGGAATATCCATGCAGTTCTGACCAATTTGTCCATCAATGGTTGTCTGTTATGGAACATGAACCAGTTACAACATGAGGACAAATTATTAACGTGTGGTTATCCGCAACTAATTGTGCAAAGGTAACAATCACGGAGGATCCTGGTTGTGTGTCTTGGACAACAGCTGCACAGTTGGGCGAGATTGCTGTCCTCTTCCGTAACAGATAGTCCCTTGTCTTTGTATTTGTTTTAATATCAGAAATTATACGGTAGGAAATGGTCTGTGGTGCAATAAATTGTACATTTTAGTTAAATTAGTGAGAGGAGCATTCTTTTTTAGGTATTTTTTTTTAAAATTTAAACAGTAATAATTTTGTACATTTAATAAAAAAATATTTTCGTGTGAGCTTTCAGCCTCTTGGACCTTATTCTTGTATACGTTATCCTGCTTAAAGTTGAAATCATCATTTTTTATTTATTTATTTTGATACAATGATGGGAATTGAACACATAACCTAATATAAACTATTCAAATCATTCGTCATTAGACCAATGACCAATCTTAGTGTCTTAATCATTTTACTTTTCTTGTCCTCTGATACTCTGCTTAGGAGATGGCTATATTAAAAATCTTAGTAAATATTTACTAATTATTAAATATAAATTACGAGTAATAAATACTTAAATTTTAAAATTTGTTAAGTTACTTATATTATATGGGTATCCATATTCTTAGAGCTCTAGTGTACTAAAACTTGAGGGATATTATTAATTAGGGAAAAATGTTTGTCATTTTAAATAACACAATTTGTGTCATTTTACTCTCACAAAGAAGGTAGATCCACACTTTTATTTTTTTTATCCATTATCTCTCTCACGTGGTCTATTTCTTTCTCTCACTTAAAATGACACAACTTTATATCTTTTCAAATGACACATACTTTTCCCTATTAATTATTGAAGAATAGATGGAAATCTCAATCAATGTGAAGAAAGCCATCGGTCATGGCTATGGCAACCTTTTTTCTCTTTGGCTATTAGGGGTAACCCATACTACCCAAAAGATATTAAGCTCATCAATAATACCTTGTTGGTTCTTGTTCCTAAGATCCCAAAATAAGAGAAAGTAAGGCAACTCAGACCAATTGCACTTTGTTCTGTACTTTATAATGGTATTAGTAAATTTATTGTCAACAAGCTCAAGCCAATCATACAAAAGCTTATCTCCCTTCGTCAAGTTAGTTTTGTCCCTAACAGACACATCTAGGATAATATCATCATTGCTCAAGAGATGATCCACTCTATGAGACGAATCAGAGGAAAAAAAATGTTTTTTTGCCTTGAAAAGGCTTATGACTATATCTCCCAAAGCTTTATTAGAATGGTGCTTGAAGAGGTCAATTTTCCTGCAACCTTGATTGATATTATCATGGAATATATCTCCTCCTCTCAACTTGAAATTATGTGGAATGGTGGCAAAGCTAGATCCATAATTCCTTTTAGAGGCTTAAGACAAGGGGTATTCAAGAATCAGGATGGAAGAGGCCAAGGGATAAGATGTTATCTAGGTCATGTGCTCTAATTAATCTTTGAATGATATTCAAAGATTTTGTTCATATTGCAGTTTAGCTGTGCCTTAGTAGTTTTGGCTTATTCAACTTTAGGAGGGTAATAATAATTTGGGGAAGATGGGGCAAAGTCAGAGATTGCATAGTAGCTATTAAATGTATTGGTTTTTGGTGAATAAGGAGGTGGATTGTTGATTGTCTTGAGAGTAAGTCAGGGACCAAGTTCCTATCTCCTTATATATGCTCTATTGTGAACTCATATCTGCTGAACCAATCCTTTAGTCTAAGTAACTGAGAAGTAGGAAGTAATTATCCTTTGAAGTCCATGATTCTCAAGAAGGATGAATTATTCATTACCACTGTGAGCTTGTGACCGATAAGATAGAATTCAAATTTCTTAATTCCTGCTAAGGTTTCTTTATACATGGAGTGATAATGGTTTTCGGCCTCTAAAAACTTGCCACTTGCATATCCATACACATGCTTCTTGTTGTCTTTTTCCTCTTAAAAGATTTCTCCGTGGAAGCTATCACTAACATCAGTATGTGGAATACGCTTCCTATTAGTGGGAATCTTGACTAGAGGGAGATTTTGACAAAGTTGCTTTAGTTCTTTTACTGTAGCAATTTGCTTTTACGACCACTATGGTTGATTCTTTTTTAACATAGCCCTGAGAGGTAAGGTTATTTGGGTAAACTTCGGGATGAAGTCTCTGGCATAATTGCAGACCCCAAGGAACGAGTAGACATGCTTAGCTGTAACATTCTCATCAGGAAACTTCGTTAGTTTTTGTCTTATATGTGGTCCAGGTAGATATTTTCCACCTTTGAAATTCAATCCCAAGAATTCAATTTCATCTTTTGTCACGTGTGCCTTCTTTTCTAAAAGCATGATTCTATAACTACTCACAATATCAGAGAATTGTTTTAACAAATCCTGTTAGATTCTTTTATCTTTGAATACAATAAAATATCATCAACATAGATGAGTGCACTATGGAGCATGGGCTGAAAGATCTGTGCCATTGCTTTTTGGAAAATAGAAAGGGTCGTCTAAAATCCATATGGCATGAGGGCTCATTCATAATGGGCATTTGGAATGCAAAATGTTCTCTTATACCTTTCTTATTGCCAAAAACCTAATAGCCAAAAGTAGTGGGGACACAAAAAAATTTATTTATGTTCATACATTTGTTCCCCCAATTTTTTTTTAAAGAAAACTTTAAATGCATTAAAAAAATGTAAATAAGAAAAGAAAAGAAAACTTCAACTTAACATAAGAAAATAGTAATCAAGAGTCAACTAATATAGAGGTCCGAAAGCCCTAATTTTACAAATTAAAACTAAATAAAGAGAAAGAGGGTGAGAGTCGGGGAGAGAGAGAGAAATCTCACCTTCGAACACGATTGCCTCCCGTGAAGGATACTTGTGATTTATAAATAAAATACGATCAGACGTATATAATGTGATTCTTCTTTTGTTATTTTTTTCATTCTCAATACTCATAATTTTGAGACCTATATGTTATGTTTATATTTACATAAGTAGCCCTGTTAGTTACCATTATATTTTTGCATTGCTAAAGGATATTCTAGTAACTGCTCAATTTAATTGAAATGCTACGTTTAATGATATTTGGTATACTAAGATTGTTGATCATTCATTCATTCGTAACACTCTCAGATTTTTCACTTGCAATATTCGCTTTCTTCATACACGAAGGTTCCCTAAAGTTGCTCTGCTATGGTTTCTCTTGAAACCCAAATCTAACCTTGTTCCTCTGTTCCTTAGTTGCTTCTTCTCCGATTTTTTGCTGATGTTAGGTTGCAGGTCATCAATCGTGAGGTTATTGGTGTTTCTTGGTGGAGTGGAGCAGCGGTGGTAAGGCTTGAAGCCACTCACGGATACAAGAAGGGTTGTTCTTGCAACGGTGGTGAACTTGTGAAATCCCCCATCCCCCCTCCAAAAAAAAATTTGTGTCTGCACTTACGGACACTTGCACAAGTGTAGATCCGCTGATGGCCAAAAGGATGCTTTTAAGTCAAACTTTAAGAACATGTGAGCTTCATTGAACTAAAGAATTAAGGTGGGTATTTTGGAAGTAAGAATTTATTATCTCTGAGAAAATGATTAAGAGGCCTGTAATTAATTACTAACCTATTTTTTCCTCTGACTATTTCAGATCTTTTCTCCACATAAATGACTTGGCAAACTTATTCTGATTTAGTGGGCTCAATAAGTCCTTGAGCCAATAAGTCTACACACTCTTTTTGAGCTAGAGCTAGGCCTGATGGAGTCATTCTTGGATGAGTTGCCTTTGTAGGATTGAGATCTTTATCTAATTTGAAAGGCAAAGTGATGAAAACTTTAGATTCTCCCAGCATGGGTTAGGATGCTTGAAGTCAATGTGAGAGTCTGCGCAGATTTCTTGTAGCTTGAGAGCAACATCCTTGTAATAATTTGGTGCATCCATTAACGCATATAAATTCTAAACTTCATAATATGGTTGGAAGAATCTTTTAAACTTTATTCCATCAGGGGAGGAGTTAGAGCCTTTCTAGCTTCGTGTAGACATCAAATTCGATCAAGAGATCTTTTCTTGATAGCCCTAAATCAATGAACTTGGTCTTCACTATACATTATGGAAAGATTGGATCTTTATGAGCTTCTTTGTGATCAAATTTGCAGTGAACATGTTCCCATCAACAACTCTAAAACTCTCAATGTGTATAACCCAATAAATATTCTTTGGGCAATAGAGCTGGATTCATAATGGAACGGAAAGCTCTTGTGTCTATAAACATTATTGCTGGAATTGGCTTTGAATATTTTTTTGGGTAGACTTTGACTTTTATTGAGGGAGTCAAGTGTCGACTTATGGAAAGACTTATGTCTTGGAATATGAAAAAGGTAGGAAAATATGAATTACTCTAGTCAAATTCTGAAGCACTGTCTTGAAATGCAAATTGAATTTCTGAAGTTACTTTTTCTTTAGAAAAGAGGGACTCAAACACTCAATATCTTCACATGACAAGACTGATTGGCTCGACTTGTTAGATTAACTTGGCTGACTTTTGAGATTTATTTGGACAATTCTTTGTAAAATAACCTTTTTGTCCAAAGGTATAACATTTATCTATTAACTTCCCCTTAAATTTTTTCTTCTTGAAGAATCTATATTTATTCCCACCCTTTTTCTATTTATTTTTCTTGAATTTTCCAAGGAAGTTTTTTTATCTTTTTGTTCTTGCATTGACGTGCACTTTCTTTGCAGTTAATTTGCAGATCTAGTCTCTTGCAAGCTTTAGCTAGATTACTAGCGCAACTCATACTCATAAATATAAAAGCTTATTCATATGCCAACAATCTCATACTCTTAAAATAAAAAAAATAAGCCCATTAAATTAAATCATGTTAATTAACATTTAAAATTTATCATAGAATAATTAAGAGAAAAATTATTCTTATATTACATGTAATAACTTTCTCTCTTACACACCCTTCGATAATTGTGTCACTTTTTTTTTTTCAGATGGTGGAACTTACAAATTTATTTCTATAACATGAGATAACTTATCTTCTTTAAAATTTTGGCCACGTGTAAAAAAAAAGATAAATCACTTGTTTATATCATCTATATATTAATTTTCTTTTTCGGAACAAATTTATTATTCAATTATCTTTCTTTGATGAGGCTGTAAGTGGGAAAAATGTACGTGTCTAATGTTACAAAAACAAATAAATAAATATATGCTTGTAAAATAAATAAATAAATATATGTAATATCTATCGTTGCAAAGTGAAGTATTTCCGTCATTTTAAGTTCTAACCGCATGCAAATTCAGAAAAAGCCAAAAAAGAAAAAGAAAAAGCGATTATTGATGAGATGAGCGTGCGAAACTGTAAATAAAGCCTTGGCTTGTTAATTCACGCGCCCTCTTTCTCTTCCGTCTACTGCGAGCGCGAAAGGGCGCCGGAGAATCTTCTTCGCCGTAGGGCTCTTCCTGTTCACCAGAAGAGGATGGGCGCCAATTCTATGCTATCCGAGTCGACTCACGATCTCGACGAGCAGATCTCACAGCTCATGCAGTGCAAGCCACTCTCCGACCAACAGGTTTCATTCGATTTGCCTCAATGCTCACGATCTGCTTCATTCCCGAACGTATATGTGCAATTACCCTTGATTTATGTAATTATTAGTTTTTTCGATCTTTGTCGCTGCCAATTGGAATATTGTTAAGTGTGTAAGTGAAAAACTATGTGAAACTCTGGTTGATTTCGCCGAAATGGCGACTGAGATGCGCTGATGTGAAGCAAATAGGATGATATAACTGATATTTGTTCGCCTAAAAGCGATTTTCAACTGTAAAATCTGCTTTGTGGTATTTGGTATGTTTCATTAGGAGGAGATTGTCTCCATGTCCTCCTAAAGGTTACAGAGATGTTATATTGTTATGTTGCGGATTTGGAGGCTTGGCATCTAAAAATGTAGATTTTCTCTTTTTGAAACAGTCTGGCACTGTGCATTGGATTTATCGTGAACGGTTGCTAGTGCCTTTAAGATATTTGGGGAAATTAGGTAATTTCTTGAATATAGAGGTAACGTGGTGGTCAGAGTTATCTACAGAAAGTCATGGCTTTGTTGGCATCTTAGTGGAAGAGGTGTTGGCTTTGGGTTTTGTTTTGTAAGTTCTAACTTTTAACTTGACGCTTAGCACTTTGTTTATAGTTGAAGATTGATCAGATTAAAAGGAAGGGGTGCTGGTGCTTATTACATTATGTGGGTGCTATTTTAGGGGTCTCATCTAGTTTGTCACTTTTATTGCAGTAATATTGCTTCATTTATTTTTCTGTGAAATGGATCTTATCTCACTAAGCGCGTTTACTTGAAATGTACTGAGATGGTAAAGACGTCTGGATTTCGTTGCTACCTGAATGATCTATCTTAGGAAAGGTTTTATTTACCCTAGGATATTTATTCACCTTAGAAATATCATTTCATTTAATATTGATTATCTTTGTTTTGTTTGTTTTAAACAGCTGTGTCCTTTTTTGGGAACTATCTCATATATCATTTACTCCTTGTGGTATTATTACATTGGGGAAAATAAATATATAAAAAATAAACCAATGATCTCGTTTTCTGCTCTGCTTGTAGGTTAGAGTTTTATGTGAGAAGGCTAAGGAGATTTTAATGGATGAAAGTAATGTCCAGGTGCAACCCTTCTTCCTGCCATTCAACTCATGCCTTAATTTTCAGTGATGCCTTTTTCTGTTTCTAAAAACATTGACCTCACTTGCAACCCTACTGTTTGATATTGCTGCTTGCTTTGCATGGAAAGCAATCATTTGTTAAGTCAGCAATGAATTCATGTTGAACTTTATCTTTCTCAGATTTATTTTTCCCCAATATTTGGGTTCATTAGTCTGATGCAGTTGCCTCTGATGCCTGTTTTGTAGAAGGGGGATATAATTCCTTCAATCTTTCTTTCTTGAATGCATGATTTTCTTGTGCTATACAGCATTTTGTCAATGCCAATCACATCATAGTATTTCAGCGCATCTTTTAATTGCTAGTTTCTTATTTTAGAGGGAGAAACATTAATTGTTTATTTGTTATTTTTTTCGTATCTCACCTGTACCACAGCCTGTGAAAAGCCCTGTGACAATTTGTGGTGATATCCATGGGCAGTTCCATGATCTTGCTGAGCTATTTCGAATTGGAGGGAAGGTATCATTTCTGAGTATGATTTTCTTTTTGTATTCAATTTCGGTTTCATTTAGGGAATGTCTTAACTAACTAATTGGGACCTGTCAAAGATAAATCTTTTGAAGATTGAAGTGCATCAGAGGTATCAATGTGTAAATTGTAAAATGCAGGAACCACTCATTGACTTCACTGTGACCCTACTGATTGTTAAAGTTCCTTATCATTTTAATTGTGCAAAATGTATTTTTATGATAAGACCACTCCTCATTAAACCCCGACTAGCGAGGCTGGGGTGAGGGAAATCATTGTACAATGTATGCAGCCTTACCCTTGCATATTCGCAAAGAGGCTATTTTCTGGATTCAAACCCGTGACTTTTCAATCACAAAGAAGTAACTTTACCACAGAGGAGTATTTTTATGATATGATTAATATTTTTTGTCAGCTTGTGGATAATATATTTTGCTGATTATTTAGATATGAAATCTAAATATACCTGCTTTGTTTACAGTGTCCAGATACTAACTACTTGTTTATGGGTGATTATGTGGACCGGGGTTATTATTCAGTTGAGACTGTTACAGTAAGTACAACCAAGATAAACTTATTTGATTTATCTTCACTATTTATTAGTTACTTTTTGAAATCTTGTTGCTCTCTCTCTCTCTCTCTCTCTCTCTCTCTCTCTCTCTCTCTCTCTCTCTCTCTCTCTCTCTCTCTCTCTCTCTGCGCCAAACCTGCGTAGGGTGCATTTTATGATATTCATGCATTAGGGTGACCACAGATTGGGTGGGAACTGGGAAGTTTTTCTCAAGAGGTAGTCGATGAAGCTTGGGTGAGCCACGAGCTTCATTTAAGTCGTGTCTGCTATTAGGACGATAATAGAAAATGGGACACTCCCAAGTGGCAGATAACCGCTTTCAAATTCTTATACCACATGCCCATGTAAATAAGGGAATATTATTAGAATGTGCAGCAAATTTAGAAAGCTCACAGAGATGAAAGGTGGATTCCTTGCATATTAAAATTATGTAAGAGTTTGTATTATCTTGCAATCAAATTTTCAAGATACGTTTGTGAGTATCAACTTTTCTACTTGAGAATAACTGAATAACAGATAGAGGTAGTCTCATACAATTTTGGCATTGTGTTGATTTTAAGCAAGGCATTCTGATGAAATCTCAAACCTGGAATCAAATATGTTTTACTTAAATCTTTGAGAGCTGTTTCAAGATTGGCCTTTTAATTTAATTAACAGAAAATTGACATTTGAGGGTTGAAAAAACATTTCGTATTTACTGAATCTCTATCATCAGTAGTAAATTCCTTTTCAGTTATTAGATAGATGGAGACTTGTCTAGAAGATTGAACAATTTCTCTAGGTACTACTTATGCATTAATGCTATGATTGTTTAGATCACTTAAGGTTCCTTTTAAGGTGTGAAGCGGAGTGATGTTGAAGTTACATTGATATTTATTCTTTGCTAATATCTTTATTTCTTAATTTACCTTTAATTGACAGTGTTGTATGCTAGACATACTAATTGGTTTTTTAATCCAGCTCCTTGTGGCACTGAAAGTGAGGTATCCTCAGCGAATTACTATTCTCAGAGGAAACCATGAAAGCCGTCAGGTATGTGTTTTCATTTATCATTCAAAATTGTAAATAGCCTATGTTTTCTGAGGTCCTTTATGGTGTTTATTTCTGACTGAACTTATACATTTACTGCTATTCTTGAATGACACAAAAGTTAGCTTGTCTTGGAGGGTTTTTAGTTGTATAATAAGTTGTTATTGCTAAACATTTTTAGCATTGATTTGAAGACTTGTTTGGGTGTTTATTATTTGTTGAGATAATTCTTCCTTTATCATTTCTCTTTTATGCAGATTACTCAAGTATATGGATTTTACGATGAATGCCTACGAAAGTGAGTTTTCAACACCTTCATTTAGAGATCCTATGGTGCAAAACATAAGATGCTTCTGTCTAGAGAAAGATTTGTATGTGTAGATGTTGCAGTTGTTTCAATTGAAGTTCATGTTGTTCAATACTAATGTACAAATTTGTTGTTATGTTGCCACGGAGGAGTCTCAAACTTCTTTTCAGATATGAAGTGTAGGGAAATTCTTTTTCTTTTAGGATTTTAACCACAGATTTTGATGAGCTAGTTTCTTGTTACTTTTGTGTACTGAACTGGAGTTTGGGGTTTATCATCTGAATTTTGCTGTTGATTTGATGTGTTGTGTAACCTTTTGATTCATGATTCTTGGTTTCGAGATCTTCAGTTTTTGATATTGATGGATATGTGGCAGAATGACATCTGGCTGTATTAGTAGTGATGTGATGGAAGTTGTATGGTATATATAAAATATCATACTGATATATGATGTCCTATATTCTTGTCAACATAGGTAAAGAATATGTAATTATGCCTCAAGTTTGTTCCAAAAAATAATATGTAACTATTAAATGTGGAAATTTCGGTCTAAATTGAACGGGAGAGAAGAATATAAGTAAGGATATTTGGTTTCTAATTTCTTGTTTCTTTTTTCACTTTCATGAATCATGACAGTTCTTGTTTTGCATTATTTATTTGCAGGTATGGTAGTGCTAATGTTTGGAAGATCTTTACAGACCTTTTTGACTATTTTCCATTGACTGCGTTGATTAGTACTTCTTTTCCCCTCTATTTATGCATTTTGTTTTGTACATGTAAGTTACTTTGTGTATTGAAAATTTGGAAGATGGAAGAAATTTTTGGAATAAATTACATTCTCTGTTTGCAATATTAAATCCAAATTATCAGCATTTACCTTTTGTTTAAGAGGCTCAAAGAACTCCCTTGTATAATGATACAAACCTTGGAAGAACCTCATCCCAAAAGCTAGCCATGAGGTAGGAGAACCCAAAGTTCATATAAATCCCACATCAAGACCTTATGTTTCGGATATGGGACTTCAAGTCTCATACCTTGCAATAAGATCATAACATCTCACCATGCTCCATAGCCCCAGCACCCGCGCTGGCTGGCTTTGCGCTATTCTTTTACTAGCCCTGGGCGAACTCTACAATGCCAGCGTCACCAGCTGTGTCTGCGCCACTCAATTGCAATTGAGAGATATAGTGAAAGGCTTTGATACCAATTGACACGAACCTTGGGAGAATCTCACCCCAAAAGCTAGCCCATGAGGTAGAAGAGCACAAAGTCCATATAAAACCCACACCGGAACCTTATATTTCCAATGTGGGACTCCAAGTTCCATACTTTGCAATAGGATCGTAACACATACACTTCTTTCACATGTGACTTTTTATATTTTCACATGACATATGACCTTTTCCTCAAATTAAAATCAACTGAATGCCAATAGCTCTCCTTGTATTACTATTTCTCTTATCCGAGCTGTTCCAATTTCATGAATGGTAAACTAGCCTTAATTTATGTGTCCTATTGAGAAAATAAAATGTTTCAACTTTGGAGGGAGTAGGTTGTGATGATAGGCTAAGATATAAAGCAGTAAGTTTTAACAAACTCATGTAGGTTTGTTTTAGCATGGATATAATTATATTATATTTCTAGATATTATAGTTTTTAACATATTTGCGACTAAAAGGTATTTGCAGTTTTCGAAATGAGAAATGATTGTCTTATAGTTTCACTCAACTTTCAGGAGCAGTGAATGTAATTTACTCAAGTTTGTTTAGTTAGTTTATCTTTTGTGACTATTTCAACTAGCTTAACTGTCTTTGTTATGCTCTGAGATGTTAGGTTGACTGTTGAACAACTTTATTATGTTTGACATTATAAATAAATTAAAAATTGCTAGTTAAATTTTTAGTTACAGGCTTTTGATCATTCAGCCTCTAATTTAATATATTCCCTTCCAGGTTGAATCAGAAATATTCTGTTTGCATGGTGGACTGTCACCTTCAATTGAGACCCTTGATAACATAAGGAACTTCGATCGGGTTCAAGAGGTTCCTCATGAAGGGCCCATGTGTGATCTATTGTGGTCTGACCCAGATGACAGGTGTGGCTGGGGAATTTCTCCCCGTGGCGCGGGATATACTTTTGGCCAGGTAAACATAGCTTCAAATCTGTAAATTAGTGAATGTTATTTTTGAAGCATTGAGAGATCTATTATCGTCTTTTATTATTATGTTGATTCCAACTCACATTCTTTCTTTCAGGATATATCTGAACAATTCAATCACACAAACAGCCTTAAGTTGATTGCTAGAGCTCATCAGCTGGTTATGGATGGATTTAACTGGGCTCATGTAATTGTCCTTCTCTACGAATGATCTTCTCTTTCATTTGGTTGCTTTAGAATCATATTGTTTTAGATTTGTGCAATGTTATGTTGAAACAGGAACAAAAGGTGGTTACCATTTTTAGTGCACCTAACTATTGTTACCGATGTGGGAACATGGCTTCCATATTGGAGGTTGATGATTGCAAGGGCCACACATTTATTCAGGTGTCATTCAACATAATTTGCTTTTGTTCTTCTTGGTAAAATATCAATAACTTTATTCCTCTCCCTTGTATTGTCTGCATAAATTTGAAATATTTCCTGCAGTTTGAACCTGCTCCGAGGAGAGGAGAACCTGATGTCACCCGAAGAACGCCTGATTACTTTCTATAACGTAATCGCTGAATGTCATACTGGTGTTCTGCACTAATTTCAGGTATTTGTGCATCCTCATTGGTAAGATTGCTGGAAGCATTTAAATCCATGGATATAACGTCCTGTGCTTTTGTGGCTGTCCAAAGACTGCTTTGATGTATAATAGGCAGGTAACATTCCACTGTTCTGTTACACTCAACAACTTGCTGGACACCGTCTGGAGAAGTCACCAAGATGATGATTGATGACTATGTCAGGGTGTGTGTTATTCCAGCAAAATGTGGATATTTTTTGTTTTCCCTGTATTTTTTTTTCCTCATGTTTCATACGTCCATTTTTACAGGCTTTAGCTACGACTGGATTTTTTTATCTCGTGGATCTTTTGTTATGTTCTATAATTTTCAGTAAAAGTTGCATGATAATAGAGATTCAGTTTTGTTCTCACGAATTATGTTCATTTCAACTTCAGCTCTAATCTAAAGTTAGTCTACTTTTATCACTATCTGGTATCTTCTATCTTTCAATGACACATGATAAGTTGCTAACTTATGATTCTTGATCTCCAATCCAGGTTAGGGCTGGTCTCCTAGATGGATTTGTTTTCTATCTCTTTAACCCATTACCTTACATTATTTTGTGCAAATGTTGGAATTTCCAAGTTTTTTAAACTGCGATAAAAAGAGTTATGTTACTTTAAACTCAGGTGTGCGGTAAACTCTACGTCCTTACATATGTATGTTTTTAATTAAACAATTTAACATTATGACTATTTGCATATATAAAATTTGGGTTAAAAATTTCTCATGTTATAAGAGAATAATTTCTTTTTGACACAAGAAATATATGAATACCATTGAAAAGAATAAAAAATTAGTGGAATTCATATGTTTGTTGTGTCAGCAGGAAAATAAATTCTTCTCCTATGACATGAAAAATCAATAATTTCATAAAATTTAACTGTGCATATGTTGTTGCAAGTCTCTAGTCAAAAAAAAAAATTGTACTTGTCGCTCTCTATTAGATTCCTATCCTTAACTCAATTGGAAATGATCTTCGAAAGAGAGAGAATGCAAAATTACAAATTAAGGGATATAATATAAGCATGAGATAAATTACAGAAAAATTAATCTGAATGAAGGCTAAAGCAAGGTTTGTACTTTTTTTTTGGTGCGTGGAGATTGCAAAAACGTGGATCAATTTGTGAAACCTACTTGGAAAGCAATGCACAATAAGCTGAAATTTCACGTGGAAGAAAGATCTATTGTTCTTGATCTCTTGCTGTACAAAAATTTGATATTATAGTTAGCATATCTCCACATCACAAGCTCATGTATGAAAAAAGAGATGGCACTAGATCGACCACAGACCACGCAAGGCCTGCATATTGAAGAAATCTAATTCCGGTATCAACATCGAAAGCCTTATGCCGGGAAAGGAGCTTTTGCAAGTAACCTTGTTTAAGCTTATCGGACTTTTTCCCCGTCATATTCAATGTGGGGATATAGCTGGTTGATTTTATTGGGATGCCCAAGGTGTTTGCTACCATAGGAATTGTCCATTTTGCCAGAGCCTTGCTGCAGAATTTCACAATCAGAATTGTAGGTATTCCCACCAGCATTCTTCCCATAAATACAGGTATTGTCAGTTCTGGTGAGAATAAACGAGGAACAGAGCCATGGTGAAATTGATGGTATGTTTGCTGTACCCCAGCGACCTGAAGAACATTAGCATTTAAATTAACACACAGAATAAAGTACAAAATATTGCTAAGTGTTGAGATATGTAGTCCCACGTTGGTTGTATGAGCAATTAATGTGAAGTTTATAAGGCCTTGGGCACTCTCACCCTTTAAGCTAGCTTTAGGGGTGGTGTATCCCAAGGTTCTTTACATGGTATCAGAACTTGAGCCTGTGCGTGTTGAGATATGTAGTCCCACATTGGTTGTATGCATGGTAGTTAAAATCGGGATTTTACCTAAAATCGAAAGGAGAATAAAAAATCGTAAAACGTAAAATCCTAACGTAAGAAAAATCGTAAAAGCGTTTGGAATTTTGGTACAATCGTTTTGATTGAAAAAAATCGTAAAATCGTAAAATCTAAGATTTAAATCGGGATTTTAACTACCATGGTTGTATGAGCACAACTAATATAGAGTTTATAAGGCCTTGGGCACTTCCACCCTTTGAGCCCCCTTTAAGGGTGATGTATCCCAAGGTTCTTTAGACTAAGAAAATAAAAACATAAAACACTCCGGTTGGGGAAAATGTAAAGTAACTTGAAGAGAAAATTTCATAAACGCAGTGTGTACCCATCCTTAGGTTTGAAAAGTTAGTCTATCATGTTACCGCAAAAAAAGAAAGTTTCTCTATCACATTAATAAATAGGGGAAGGTTATACTTACAACCTATTTTCTTTACAACCTCTTACAACCATATATCTTAACCGTTGACGGTTTATCATTTATTGTGATTTAATAATTAATTAATAAATTTAATTTATGAAAATCTTAACCGTTGATTGACGGAAATCAACGGTTAAGATATATGGTTGTAAGATGTTGTAAAGAAAATAGGTTGTAAGTATAACCTTCCCCTAATAAATAATGTATACATAGGAGTTAGGATCAACTAAAGATTTTGTCTAGCACCAATTTTGAGCCAATGATTATAATTTTATCTTAACGGCTATAAATATACAAATCTTACAGTGGAGCCCAACTTTAATGAGGAAAAAGTATACACAGAATTAAGACAGTTCCTCTCTCAATTTATTTCTTATTCCTCTATTTTAATTCTCAATTTTGATTTCTAAAAATTCTGAATGGTTTGCAAAAGAAATTTACTATTCGGGATGCAAATAATTTGAGTAACATAAAAGCGACGGCAACTGGAATGACTAGATGGTTTATTGCTATAAAATACCAAAAAACCCGAGACTAACAGATATAGAATAACAAACAGGACAGAAGTGTATAAGGATGTAGCTCCACAACCAGTTGATCCCATAATTCAAGGTGGCAAGTGATTGAACAAAATTAGATCCACCCCCTAACACTTTTCAAAGTCAAGCAGTATGTGCAAGCCAAGGGACTACCATAACCCAAAGCTCAATATATTTGGCCAACCAAAAAGTTTTATTCTGCTATTGAATAACTAACCTACCAGTTTTCAAGGACCCCTTTCAACAACAGGCACAATTTCCCGAGAATTGCTAAAAATACTAGTAACAACAATCAATTAGAAATTGCAACAAAAAGTTGATCAAATACTTCAGGAACCGAGATGTCAAATCATTTAACAATTTAAGTTTTCACATTTGCCATTCCAAGGAATGTTAAGACAGTGGCATTTACTAAGACTACTCTTACAAAGGGGTGATAACTTAAAGGTTTATTCATCTAACAATATATTATAGTTAGCATTCCACAAAACATTTTCAGTTCATACAGATGTACTCGTTTTTTAGTACTTGTGAACATACAGGTAGCAGATCCAAATTCAATTCACCAATTCTTGGAACATGATTCTTAATGTATCCTCCACTAGACACTACAATGTTCCAAATGCATTTCAGATGCTAGATAAAATGATATTGGAAAATTGACTCAGCCAATAGTTTTTTCCTCACTTCTAATTACAGTGACACAATTCAAAATTTCCAAAACTGAGAAAATATGAAGCTTAGAGAAAAATTAGATAGTATACCAAGGAAATAAGAGTCTCAACTCTGAACAAACATACACGTCCAAATGTAAGAGAAAAATGGAATGCTAATTAGTAATTTGTAAAAGAGAGAAAGTATTTACATTCCTGTTTCTTTACTCATTAACTTCTCAAAGCACTGTAAAATTCAATACCAATTCATCTCTCCTGTAAGCGCAAAGTCTATTTTATTTTATACGACATGACTCCCACGTGGAATGGAACCTGAATACGAGTAAATTTTTTGACAAAATCGCATACTTTAATTGTCTAAGATTTTTCACTGTAGTTTTCCCTACTCTAAACAAAATCCTATAAGAATAATATATATAAATTAAAAAGAAATAGTAATTTGAAAAAGCAAAACTGAGAACAACACTTCTCTAGCCCTTGGCATGCTTAGTGTTGGAGGACTACCAAAACAAATCCTAGGGGAGTACTTGATTGTAATCCAAATCACTGTATTAGAAACTTAAAATCTACATTTCAAAGTTAGCTTGACGTCTAACCTTTTGAGCATTGCTGAATTCACCAAGTACCACTTTTCCATTTAAGATATGTAGTCCTTATATAGGACACTAAACATAATTAGGGGTGTCTAGAGCAAGTCAACTATAATTAAACAAAGCAGTAGTCTAACTCTAATTAAGTGTATATTCCAAAATTCTGTCCTCACTCATTATGTCTAACCTTATTATAACAAGAATAAATTATGTAATCTTGTGTATGTTCATTCATAATGAAAGAAGAAAGATGAAACAAGTTTACACAATGTTAAAGCGTGAGAAACTGCTTACAATTCCCAATGCAACACCGTTGAAAGCAGTGTGATACTCAAAGCTTGGAGTTGGAAGTTCAGGAGTTGGATAAGCAAAAAGCAATAGGAAGCTCAAGGCAGCCCAAAAAGATGTAACTGCAACAAAGAGAGATTAAAATGAGATAGAAAACAAGGAAAGCTTGTCAAGATTACTGAAATTAAAGGGTGAAAACAATCTATATTAAAAATCGTAAGCAATTTTAATCATGTTTTGACAAAAGATGTTTAAGAAATAAGAAAAAAATCCTAAAAACATTGAGAATATAGTTTTTCTAATATGATAATCTAAAATAAAATCCAATTTTTACAATCTAAGTACCACCATGTGCTGTTATTGTAAAGGACAAAGCTATGTGCTAAATTTAGTAATTAGAAGTAAGCATACCATTTTGTCCTGAGATCACAAAACTGTCTATGTATTCATCAACTGTAAGCCAAAATGCAAGAAGGCCGAGTCCAATAAAAAAGCCAACAAGAATATCAACCAAACTGTGCATGCCAAGATAAATTCTTCCTACAAAAAATACCAAATTTTTTCATTGTTTTTATGTGCAATAGGCCAACCATAGGAAGCTGCTAATAATGTAAAAGTAACAGAAGACCTACCAAAACCAATGAGGGCCACAATCAAGCAAGCAAGAGAAACTCCAAGATAATTAACATAGGCACCTTGAATTTCAGCATGGGTCAGGACATAGTGCACAAGGTAGCTGATAAACATCCATTCCAAGGAAAAACATCCATTAATGACAAACACAAAGAATTGAAAGCAAAGGGTTCATATTTCTCAACAGATAATCTGACTTTGAAAAACTATACGCTACTAATTAAGTGAAACCAATGATAGAAGATAGATAAAATATATGATTGCAAATGCATTACCATGTTTTCAATTATTGAGTTATTTTCTACTCTCATTAGTTGGTCCAGAAAATAGGTAGGAAAAAGAGTAAGTGTAACCATATGACTTGACTTATAAGGCATGTTATGGTCAGAGTACATATCTAACATCTCAACAGCCATTCCCCCACACACTAACAACCTTTATAACACAACACAAAACTTAACTCACTCTAAACTCTAAAGACATGCCTCAGAATCCCTTTCTGTTACCATGCCAGCTAAATTAGCCCCACTTAAGGTGGATGAATTAGGAATAAAAGCAAATAAAAAGAATAATATATACCCAGATAAACAAACTGTATTAAGTGTGTGAGAAGAAGGCAGTCCATATTCTAAAGCATTATCTTCTTCATCTTTTGTAGCAGTTATTCTCTTGACAGGTGGAGAACGGGGTCTTGGAGCTGAAACCACATCCTGTTGAGTGACAAAAACAGCAAGTATTTTATGTAATAGGCAAAAGCTGTGATCACAGATAGATGAAGGAGTGAATCTAATCTTGAATTTAATGAAAGCAAATACATATATATACCTTTATGCAGTTCCCGATATAATCACAAAACGCCATCAACAACGTCATCTGCCGCGCCAATTGGCCATGACCACTCTACATAGAAACCAAAAAAGCCATTAAATTTTATTTTATTTTTAAAAAAACAAAATTCTCACGTGTTCCTGGTTGTCTGATATCATCAACATGTACGTACCCAGAATAGCAGAGGGAGAAAAGCAGTGTAAAAGGGCACAGAAACAACACAAGACAACCCAGAGAAAAGAGCATCCAGGAATCCAAGCCGGTAATTCTGCATCAGCCAAAAAAATAATTTAAAAAAAAAAAACACCATTTAGAGCAAAAAATTGAAAAGCTTGGAACTTTGAGAGAATCAAAATCTGGGTTTCTATTTATTTTATTTCATTGAAGCAAATTAAGGTGAATTTGATAGTTACCTGGATCTGGAGGATAATAGGGATTCCAGTGTCAACATGGTGACACACCCAAGGTTGCAGGAAAGATCTAAGCATGCGAGTGACATTGAGATATGAAGCAGAGACAACCCATAAGACTATTCCACCCAGAAACGCACCTTGCCACACTACTGTATCTGCACCTGCACCTGCACCTGCCCCCTCCATTCTTCTTCCCTCTTTTGCCTCTTTGGGAACAGAGAAAGAGAGGAACCGAAACAATGATGAACAAACAAGAGTCGCCGGAACACAAATATTAACCACCTGGCTGAATCAAAACTGGACAATGAAGTTGAAAGAAACGGTATTAGCTTATATTCAACTTTATTTACTTTTCTCTATAAATATAAATAAATAAACATGGGGATAGAGTTTCTAGTTTTCCATGAGATAATTTATATAACACACAAAAAAAGTAAGTTAGATCAGAAATAAAAAAAATAAATGGCTCTTATTCACTTTTTTTTATATGTTGTATTAGATAATTTATCTCGTTATATTCCCATTATATGTATGTATATATAAATTTAACGAGGAGGAAATTTTTTTCATTTAAAAAATAATGAAGATTATTTTGAACCATGAATTTTATATTCATTTGGACTATGGTCCACGAATTCGTTGGAATTTGGCTGGCGGAGAACAACGTGACTATAGAAATAAAGCAATTTCCACGCGTAGTGGGTCAACGCTGTAGAAGGTCCATTATTTTTTCTTTTTGTGAACGTTGTAAGTTTGTAACACGCGGATTTCCAAGTTAATTTGTTTCATTGTCAACAATGAATAAAATTTAAGAGCTATCATTTAAGCTTAATTTAATTTAAGTGCAAATTTAAATTAAAATCATGCCATCTTCTTCTGCAAAGCTGAGGCCTTTTACACACACTTTGATATTTGCTCATGTTTCGACTAATAAATTTTACGTTAAAGTGTGTTAAAAAAATAAAAATACTAAAAATAGTACAAGGTATATTTATCACTAATTAAGTTTATCATTTCTTATCACCAAAACTTAACCGTTGATTTATGTAAATCTGATGATTATAATTTATTAGAAATTAATAATTAATTAATAAGTGTCATTCAATAAATTATGATCGTCAGATTAACAGAAATCAACAGTTAAAATTTGATGGTAAAAATGATAAACTTAATTGGTAATAGGTGAATCTCCCCCTAAAAATATCCAAACTTTGTTAAAATAGGTAAATTTTGTTTTTATTTATATATTATCCTTTTTCTTTTGTAGTTTTAAATATAGAAATTTAATTTTTGGTATTAGAAATATGGGATAAGATATTCATACTATTTTTTTTTTCTACCACCTCACACTACCACTCTAAAAAATTGAATGAAGAGAGAGAAAAAATAATAATTTTTGAATTCAATGATGATTAGAGTAATAGTAAAATGATAATAAAAAATATGGTGTATAAATATCTTACCTAGTTGAGTATATAAGGCCTACCTCCTATAATGAACTTCTATTCGCTCTTTTTTTCCTGGAGTATTATGGACACGTTTTATGGTTAGATAACATTCTAGAAGTATATATATTCAAATAAAAGAAATTTTTTCAATATTCTTCTCCTAAATTTGTTAATGATTCATACCCCAAAAAATAATTCAATTCCCTTTCATAAATGTTATCTATATATGTTTACAAAAGTTCAATACTTTGTTATTAGTTGTCCACTTGTCCTTCTTAAAAGTTTTTGTACACTGGCTTTATAATTAAAAAAATACCCAACGGTTTATCAATAAAAAAATAAAAAAATACCCAACGTAATAATATATAAATGGAGTCTCTAGCTGTTATAAATAAATAAAACTAAAATGGAGTGTAAATCTTCCGGAAAGTCAAAAGCCAAAACATAAAGAAATGGCTATTAACCTTAGTTTCTATTTAGAGATAATAAATTAATGGTGGTTAAAATCACAGATGACAACCTAAATTTAACACGTTGCCTTGATTAGTGTCCAAACTCCAAATGACACATGATACTACAAATAATTGTTTTGGAAACTACAATAAGATTTTGACATGATATTGCGTCGTTGTTTCCTTGTAAGTTACCTCGTATGTCATTGTTAGGCCGTCGAAAATCCAATCCAAATAAAATTTACAATTTTTAATTTCAAAAAGATATATATATATATATATATATATATATATATATATATATATATATGATAATTGGATGAGTGATATTATTTTTAATACCTTTAAGTGGTTGTTTTTTAAGCAGAAGGTACATATAAACATAAGCTAGGCCAAATAGGTTTTGGAAAAAGTTCTTATAATGAAAAATTCTTTTTTTTATAATAAATAAAAAAGCTGAAAGTTGAAAGTTCATAGAAGGAACTTTTTTTTAAGCTCTTATCTGCTTTTATTGAATTGTGTGCTTTTTTTTTTAAATGAAGAGTTATAAAGATCGAGAGAAATAATTTTCTTGAAATATATACTTTAAAATTTTTAAGCTAAAAATTTTATGTGATTACCAAACAGCTTTTAGCTTCTTCTTTTTTTAACTTTATTTTATAAGTAGCTTATAGCTTAAAAAAGAGAGGATTCAAACAGCTCTAAAAAAAATATGTTCAGTCATTAATGTGTGAGATAACTTCTTAAATTAGAAATGAAACGAAGTTTTTTGAGGCGAGTTGTGCTATAAGTAATACTTTAATAGAAAAATATTCCTACAGTTAATACAGATAAGTTATTTGCATTTACTTTCAAAACGATGTCGTTTTGAGATTGAAAGATTAGAAAATTATAATTATAAAGACTATAATAACTCTGAAATAAAAAATTATAAAAACACAATAATTTTTATCCTAAAATAATATCATATTAAATTTACTGCATATAACTTATCTGCGCAAAAAAAACAAACCCTTAGAAATAATACGATATTCTCCGGGTGTTAAACCTCCTATACGTTCAAAGAAAGAGATGGTAAATTGGCGCCACAGGTGTTCAAACGAGCTAAGTCCATAACCTGACAAATGTGTTAGGTGAACTAATAAAATTAAAACAAACGTATATAAAATATTAATTTTTATTTGATATAATATTATACAATGCTTTATCAAAACGTTACATCAAATTCTATAAAATATTAAAAAAATAAAGTTTTTATGCATTTGCCTGTCCGGTTATGCATTATAAACGGAGGCTATTTGTTTAGGGCACCCGAAGAACCTAGATTTTTTTTATTTTTTTTACAGTAAAAAAATATATAGCGGATTTAAAATTAAGAATAAATGGCAATTGATAATGATCAATGTTCTATAAATACAAAATGTACCAGTATAAATACATGTAAGTAAATTACATGAGAAAATTTATTGCATTCTTTACATCTTTTATTTTTTTGGTAAAATGTATTTGGTCAAAAAATGTTGTGCCGCAATTTAAATAAAAGTTTAGAGTATAAGTGATTTTTAAGGTGTATTCGATGTACATTGAAGAATAACATACTATTCGGGATTGAGTTACAAATAAGTTGTAGGGTTCTGCAATTACTGTAGATAAGTTATCTGAAATAAGCTCAATACGATATTGTTTTGAGCCGAAAATTATGGTGTTTTTGTAATTTTATTTTATTTCAGGGTTATTATAGTTTTTATAATTATAATTTTTTGATATTTCAATTTCAAAACGACATTATTTTAGAAGTAAATTGTTACGATTTTAGTTTTTATTTTGTTATTATTGTTATTTAATTACTAGACTAGTATTTGAATTTGTTTGAACAAGTCCTGACAGTTTTCATGAGCCTAACAAAGTGAGTAGAGGTAATTTTAGGTGATTCTTATTTTCATGCATTATAGCTTTCATGTGTAATTGTCTATTTAATTAGAGTTTTGATTAATAAAACACAAGAGTATAAAATATTAGTTTGGCACTGTACTCTGTGCAAGCAAGAGGTCAGGTTTTTTCAATAAAGTCAAATTCGCATTTTTATTTATTGTGTTCGTAACATAAATGCAGATAACTTATCTGTAGAAATATTTTTCTATAATTTGTATTGTTAATTGTTTTATAACTAATACACAAAATTAAAAATTTTATACTATTTGCCATAATAAATATAGGAAATAATAATGCAAGATTTACTGTAATACCCTATGAAAAAAAAACAGTGGTTATTATTTTTGTTATCTTTTTATGCCGTGAATAATTTTATAAACTAATTTATATTTTGTGTAATGATAATAAAAAAGTCGTAGTTTTATATCGTTTCTTAAATTATATTTTGCGTAGTATACTATTTTTAGAAAATCATAAATTATATATTTTTAAGAATATGTTATCTCTTACTCTTTCAAGATATCAAAAAAAAAATATTGAAAGACCAAGAGATAACATATTCTTAAAAATATATTTTGATATTCAGAAGGGTGTGGACTAAGAACTCCGAGTTCATTTCGCGCCATACGATACTGACCAGTCAATAGCCGCCGGCTCAGATACTCAAAAGTCAACACTATGCGATACTTTTTTTTTTTTTTTCAACCTTTGAATCTCACGAGTCATGACTTCATAAATCATAACGAAGTACAGTTGCACTGATTGGAACTTCTAATGATGCTAACACACACTGCTTTTCCATAGAACCTGCCAACTAAAGCATACACTTCAGCTCCAAGGCGATTATTTTGCGGCTCTCGTGTCTTGTTTAGAAACATATCAGCTCTATAACTATAGGATATTGTTTGTATTTTGATTATAATATATTTTTTAATATTTAAACGGAATATTATATATTTAATTATGGGATAAATGTTTTTATGAGATAAAATTATTTCCGTAAACCGTAATCTCAAAATAATGTCATTTTAAAATTTAAAATAAAAAGTATTTTAAAAAATTTGCTTTCTTTTTGTAATATGAATTTTATTAAAATATTCTGTATTTTTTCCCTAAATCTCAAAAAAAAAAAAAAAAATATTGCAGAAGAAAACTTTATAAGGTTATTTCTTCTAATTATATAAAATAAGAGGAAATCTTTTGTTTTAAAAGCACATACAAATATATCTTAGTAAAATTCACCTAAATATATTTCACCTTAATACTATAACAAAAGCTCTACTGGAAATTTCTCGATATGGGGAGGGTAGCGCAGGTAAATATTGATTATGGTTGGTAATAGAAAGGAACTCTCTCGCAAGATGACAAGATTAATGAGTTTATATTTTATATTATATTTATTTATATAAGAATTTGTTGAACTTAAATAATGAATAATGTTATGTTCATTTACCTATTTATATTTTTAGTTAACACAACCTTAATTATCTCTTTTGAGGCGAGTTAGTTATTCTTGATATTTCTACAATTTCA